GTAATGATCAAAGTTTTTTAAAAACAACCAATAGAAATATATTTTTTAACTTAAATACTTACTTTTTACTTAGTCAAAATAATGTATATGAAAATTATTACAGAACATAGGTTGACATAGTCTACAAAAATCTTCCATAAATACTAACTCTACCTATTTTTTTGTTATAACGGCCTTAAACTCTAATGTTGCATTAAATAGACTTTATTACATTTTACGAATGGGATAATAATTAGTTTTAGAATTTTTTTATTTTCCCGTGACACGGTGATCAATATTGTGACACATGGTATCAGACCGATCAAGAAAACTCCATTAAATCAAGCGTAGATCAATACCCACACGCAGTATTATATTCTCCCGTGAAAGTAAACTGGTTCCGAAATATAAATCAGAGAACGATTATTGAAACTAGAAATGTGTCATCATGCCACGGATGCCCCCGCATGCAGCCAAAATTTCAGATGTTATAATATTTAGTTCCAAATTTGTTTGCACAAATTATTGTTTTCATTTAAAGTTCAAAGCCCTTAAAACTTTTCAATGTTAACACAAACCATTTCCATACAATGTTCAAGGCACTGAAATTATTCAGTCTTAACCTTTTGAAAATAGCATATTTCATATTTGTAGCCAAAATAATGGCTACATACATTTCCACAAAAGTATGAGTGCTGAAACTGAAAGTTCAAATTTTTTTCCAATATTCAAGAAAGATAAGTTTGTCCACAATCATTGAACCACGACCAAATTCAAACTTAAACTGCCTATTCCTAAGATGTATCTATATTATTTTCAAAGTGAAAGGGACATAACTCTGCCAAAAAATCATCGAACCATGACCAAATTCCAACTTGACCTGCCCATTCCTTTGACATATCCATATGTCAAATTTGAGTTGAATATGTAACACTGTTGGGTAGATAATGAACAGAAACTGTAAATTTCATATTTTTTTCAAAGTGAAAAGGGCATTACTCTGCCAAAAATTATTGAACCATGACCAAATTCGAACTTGACCTTGGCATTCCAAAAAAATATCCATATGTCAAATTTGAGTTGAATGTGTTGTACCGTTGGGGAGATAATGAACAGAAACTGAAAATTTCATATTATTTTCAAAGTAAAAGGAGCATAACTCTGCCAAAAATCATCGAACCATGACCAAATTCAAACTTGACCTGTATTTTCTCATGACATATCCATATGTCAAATTTGGGTTGAATGTGTTGTACCGTTGGGAAGATAATGAACGGAAACTGAAAATTTCGTATTATTTTCAAAGTAAAAGGGGCATAACTCTGCCAAAAATCATCGAATCATGACCAAATTCGAACTTGCCCTGTATTTTCTCATGACATATCCATATGTCAAATTTGAGTTGAATGTGTTGTACGGTTGGGGAGATAATGAACAGAAACTGAAAATTTCATATTATTTTCAAAGTAAAAGGGGCATAACTCTGCCAAAAATCATCGAACCATGACCAAATTCAAACTTGACCTGTATTTTCTCATGACATATCCATATGTCAAATTTGAGTTGAATGTGTTGTACCGTTGGGGAGATAATGAACGGAAACTGAAAATTTCGTATTATTTTCAAAGTAAAAGGGGCATAACTCTGCCAAAAATCATCGAACCATGACCAAATTCGAACTTGACCTGTATTTTCTCATGACATATCCATATGTCAAATTTGAGTTGAATGTGTTGTACCGTTGGGGAGATAATGAACAGAAACTGAAAATTTCATATTATTTTCAAAGTAAAAGGGGCATAACTCTGCCAAAAATCATCGAACCATGACCAAATTCGAACTTGACCTGTATTTTCTCATGACATATCCATATGTCAAATTTGAGTTGAATGTGTTGTACCGTTGGGGAGATAATGAACGGAAACTGAAAATTTCATATTATTTTCAAAGTAAAAGGGGCATAACTCTGCCAAAAATCATCGAACCATGACCAAATTCGAACTTGACCTGTATTTTCTCATGACATATCTATATGTCAAATTTGAGTTGAATATGTGCAACCGTTACTAAGATAATGAACGGAAACTGATGATGACGGAATGACAGAATGACGGAAGGACGGAATGACGGAAGGACGGAATGACGGAAGGACGGAAGGACGGAACAGGGTAACACTATATGCCCCGGCCATTACATGGCGGGGGCATAAAAAAATATATAATCGTCTTTATTAATCCATCTATATAAGGAAACACGAAATTACTGATAAACTGGATAATTGTGTTAAAGTCACTTCGACAGTTGAACGATAAATATTTAAATCGGGAATATTTATATCGAAAATAATTTTATTATTTTATTTAATCAATTTAATCTTAATTTGTTGAATTCTGCTATTTTTAGAAATGGAATTTCTTGAAGGTATGAAGTCTGATAAAATGGCAGAGACGGTTACAGTCTGACTCGAGATCTGTAAAATTTTAAATGGCCGAAAAATGTATTGAACAAAAATAATTATTTGCATTACTCTACTTAAGATATCTATTTTAGGAAACAATACAGGTATGAATGTTATTAAAATAACACTGTAAACAGTTTAATGATCCCAAAATAAATACCATAGAAAATCTATTTAAAAATAAATTGAATAATTTATACGCCTATATCATTCAGTCTGAATAATTCTGAGGAAAAAAAATTACTGAGGACAATTAAGTTTATATAATAATTTGACCTGTCTGAATGTTATATGCTTTAAACTTTTTTGCTCCATTGCGAGGAATATTCCAACAACAAATTTAAAATGAATCACTTTTGTCTCTGCTTCATTAAAAATGAAACATTTAAGGTCACTTTTGTGACCACTAGCCCATATGTGTGATGAAACTACATCTATGCAAAAAGCCATGATCTATGACCTTTCAGAAGCAAACACTTTCACCATAAGGCCGACCATACAAAGTACCAGAAGTTAGTTCAGGCTGATCAAAAGTGACCAATATCCACAATTCAGATTTTAATTTATCCCTATTTCATTATACCAAAACGTCAGATACAGTTTTCACTGCTTAATACTTCACAGACATTAATATCTCTTTCCAATTATCTTTAAAAGAAACAAAAATGAATTTAGCCCTGTCTTCAAAAACCATTTAACTCAGCCTTTTCTTCAAAAACCAAAGACTTTGAAAAATGGAAAATGTCCTCTAAAAGACTCAATTATTATTAACTAAGTCACCGCAATGACAACTTTCACCACAAAGCTCTCCACAAAGCTCTCCAAACAGGAAATCAACAGAGATCTCCTTGTACCATGGTGACCACACTTGAACATCTTTTGTACCTCCTACTTCAGAAGAGTGCTTTTAAAACTGAATACAATGCCTGTAACAAGTTTTAAGAAGTTTAAACATGGACCACTAATTCACTGTAATATTTACACAGTGTCATAAGGGCTTGTATTGAACCATTGGTCAATTAGAGTTCGCTTTCTTTGAGACATACTTAAACTACCCGACTATAAAGAAAACAGCTAGAAGTATTAACTAAGACTCAGGACCATTGAATTTAAAAATAAAGAAATCATGATTCAACAATAATAGCTTGGTCTTTTTGCGAGGACATTATTTATGCACAGAAAATAAAGGATAATCCTCTAATGCTTATAGTTGGCCAATGGAAATCTGTTTCAGATTCAGGTACTGGAGGTAGAAAGATAAAGAGACTATATAAGATCCAATCCTTGTGCCGAGGTCTACAGTAAAGGCCGCATTTTGTTGGAATTTTAAAAGAGCATTATCGGGACATATGAATTATTAAATGTGACAGGTTGTGCTGCGGTTTAACTGTTAGTTTCCTTCAAAGATTTATCAAAACATACAAACTTAAAATCATTGTAACCTGTAATTTGTTCTTTTACAAAATTAAGGTACTTTTTATAGTTCAACCAAAGACAGCCCTCACGCCCATCCCAGCTACATCCATTTAGCGTCTCCCCTATACCTCAATCGGGACTAATTCTCAAAATCATAATCTGTTTTTCAAACATTTAATATTATTCTTTCGGCTTAGAAGCAAATCTTTATTCTTATAATCCCAAACGTCAATACATATCAATCACTACCCCTTGTCAGAAACACACACTCGGAAAACAAAATGTTGCCTGCAACGCCAAAACTTAAAAGAAAACGCTAAAATCAGTTAAATGGAAACTCAAACCAAATGATTTTATATTGGATAGAAGTAACAAATACAGATTAACTATCCAATCTCAAAACTAAAATGATAACTTTTACAATGATCAACTATTTAGATATAATATTATATAAACTGAGAGGAACGCGTAACAGCAGGTATCAAAATACACTGCTTGGCGACACATATTTAAAATAAAATCTGCTGGTAGTCAGAAAGACTGGGTTTCACTCAGTAAAGTCACACATTCAGTCAAAAGTTGTTACTTTTGTTTAAATATTGCTAGATAATTTGCTTGTGGCCAAAAAACTAAAAGCTTTAAATGTCTAAAGTCTGAATTCAAAGTAATCTGATGCATTACGAATTTTTGTAAAAAACATAAAAGAAAATAAACAGTATCAGCAGATAATATGTTTCGAATTCAAATTCCAATTATCTATTAAAACAGTAAAAACACCATGTTTTTTTTCTTTCTTTTTTTTGGGGGGTTTTACGTCGCATCGACACAGTATAGGTCATATCGCGACGTTCCAGCTTTACTGGTGGAGGAAGACCTCAGGTGCCCTTCCGTGCATTTTTTCAGGCACGAACGGGCACCTGAGTAGAACCACAGACGTTCCCTGAGTTAGCTGGATAGCTTCCTCACATGAAAGAATCCAAAGTCCCTGTCGGGATTCGAACCCACAGCGGTGAGGGGCAAGTGGTTTAAAGTCAACGACCTTAACCACTCCGATGCCACGAAGGGGGAAATGCCCTAAATTTTAAACTTTCGGGACATATATTTATAATGTTAATTTTACACAATCAATAGAAAACATTAAACTTACCAGGCAGTGACTTCTTTGCACATGACCAAAAGTCAAGCTGAAAATATAATAAATTTACATGAATATGCTTTATAAATAAGAGACTATAAAATGTCATCGTTTTCAGTCACATTAAATTTCATCCAATCATTAAAACTGTTGCTTTATTTTGAATGATGCCTACTTTTCTTTACATTCTCTAAATATATCAGAAATGTTTTAAATGATGTACAGTTGTGGTTTGGTTTCACCAACAAGGTAATGGTACATTATATGGCGACTTTCCAGCTTTACTGGTAGAGGAAGACATTGGGTGCAGCCTTCATGTACCACGGTAGCAGACTTATAGGTTTAAGTCTTCAAAATAAGCGCTTCGCGAAAGTCCCGAGAAAGAAATAAAACATACAGTTTCAAATTGTTAGTGACAAACACATTGATATTACACAATTTCTGCAGGGTAAATGGTTTTAAATGCTTGTAGTTTATGCTTGTTAACATACAATAATTTATGTTCCATTTCAATTCACCAAAAAAAAAAAAAGCCATAGCTAAATAATGGGAGAATAGATTAATGGAAGTTCAGTCAATACACATTAATTTCTACCTATAACGCGACCTGAGTGAACCTGGCTTACTATTAATACTATAGAAATAATTTATTGACTAAACCGTTTTTCATTCTTCATATTCATAGAAGTTAATTATAGTCTCCTTATATATTGAAAGTACAGCTCGCAACCAGGTATGCAATTTCATTCAACTATATCGTACAAATCTAAAACTCTTCCAAACCAGTCATCTTCGTAACCTTAAAAAACGAAATTATGAATTAATTTTTTTCCTTGCTTCATGTTCGTATGAAAAGAACCTTAATTCTTTAATCAGCTTTGAACTGCGGGCAATTTCACTAAAACTTTTCAACAGCAATGCCGTTTCAAATTTCTATTCAGTTCCGATACAGGGTGCGAGTGAAAAGCTGACTGTGCTAGCAAAAATAAAACTTGACATGGGTGTGCATGCTTATGTGATGATAAGATTAAGTAATTTTACTAAAATTTAAAAAAAAAAGTATATAACAGAATGGGACCAATTTCATATCGTTATTTCCTTTTTAAAATGTTTTAAGTAAAATCGCCAAAATATACTCTCCATGTCATGCAGGAAACCTAAGACAACATTAATTTGCGTTGTGTCATTTTTCTTGCTGGATTTTAAAAGTTTTATCATGCATGCATAAATATAAGGAAATGTCTTCTCACCGTAGTTTTTGGGATGAAAATATTTTCGTACAAAAATTACTTTACCTCTTACATGAAACATTAGTAGTAAAACATTTTGTATCTATGACTTTTTAAAACAGGAATGATCCATTTCTTTAATACAATACTGTCCCAGCAAGGAGTTGTTTAATGTTTACCCTGCTGATGAAAAATGACTACCTATTCAACCAGTGCAGACCAAGATCATCAAGCACATCTGGTGCCATATCTGATCATAGATGGTCTGCAGTGTTCATTATTCTGTCAATAACTTTAAAAAATTTATTTAAAATTTTACTGAAAAAGGACATGTCCATTCACAATATTTAGCACCGTAAATGTAAAATTATTGACAAACGGGTAAAATAATAATTACACCAATTTTAGTTTCTTTCATAAAAATCCAAAAAATTTAAAATTTGTAATTTAATTGGATCAAATTTGCAAGCTTGGAAAAATTGTTGAAGAAAATAAGTCTTGGTGACATTTCCGAGATATCAATCTATATTATAAATAAATCAACTAAAATACAAAAATATGTGTAAACTTGTAAAATCTTTAACAAAAACACCTTACAACAAATCTTATATTGTACAAAAAACAAAGAAATAAAAAGTCAAACTGAGTTAAAAGTATCATTAAAGGAAGGTAAAAGAAAGACATATTTTCTTTTTTTTTACGAAGATTTCTGTCTCCTAAGGTAACACATAGATTTAAATGCTAAATATTTTTGGCGAAACACTGTACAATGCATTAAGATTCAACAATTAAAAAAAATACCATTAGGTTTTTTTCCCTCCTAATTACATTTTTGCCTTAATTCAATTAAATGAACAATAATAAATCATGGAAATTAAACTCTGGACCGGAAAAAGTTGCAAGGAGAGGTTATCTGTAGAAGTACATATGTTGTTACATTTAAAACAATTTATTTAGTGTTTTGAATAAAGTATAATAGACACTTCAACTGATGATACTATATGTTTTACATTCCCATGACCTCGATAACTTGACTTGATCATTTATAATATTTCTCTCACAGTAAAACTAAAAGGTACATTAAATTTCATATATTCATATGAACCAAAAATATAACACTTAAGTTTATACAGAATTTACTTTACTTGATTATGTAGGAAGTAGTTTTACATGTAGCTTACAGACCCACGAATTTTCATTCCTTGCTGTAATGGCACCGAGCATTGGGGTTTTAATTCTTTTTGCTCAAGAAAACAGCAGCTTGCTGATGACAATGTTTGAACCCTTGCAGCTAACAATCCTTATAATTAACTTACTTAGTAAATATGACTGCACACATTAACATTGCTTTACCTCATTATTACATTGTGTGTGTAAATATAAAAGTAAATGAACAAATTTTAATGCGTTACTTTGATTTTGTATTAAAATTTGATTTTACAAGGGTTATTATTAAATTTCTTTTTGTATAGACTAAGTTTTGATACTTACCAAATGTTGTGGACACTTTGATGGCGCTGATGCTAGCAGGGATATCTGCTCAACTTGATTCCCTGACATGGACAGCTGAAAATAAAGAAAATATATAATTATAACACAAGTACATGAAGCTATAAAAGGGCAACTGCTTCAATTTACTTCAATGTAATATCAACGTAAATCAAAGATTTTAAAACTATACTTGGAGGCAAATTTAGGCTTAAAATCACTTTCAGTTACAGTAGGTAAGGGTTAAGCAATTCAGGGGGAGGGGCTTATACCAATTAATGTGTTCATTTTAGAATCCTTGAACTATAACCAGTAGCATAACAATATTTGACAATATAGTACTAACAAGCAAAAGCCTAATTTTGCGTGTAAGAAAAAACTTTAACATCGCTTATAATATAAAAGATTTAATTTTTCAAAAAAATTTCCTCAAGGATATACTTTGCCTCGATTTAAATTTATAATAATAATAATGACAGTCATAATAATACCAAAATTGGTGGTATCTAATGGAGCACGACGCCTAGAAGATACTATCGCTGACTTCTCCGCCTAAAAGAGGCCGGGCAGACGACACTTAACATATCTTGTTTCAGATCAAATACTACTGTGCGGGTTTTTTTTGCTTTACGGCTTTTTTTGTGGTACATACACACTTAAAAAGTCAGTCAAATGGATAAATTTAGTATTTAGTGATAAATTCAAGTTACTAGTAGTTTACTATGTATTTTCGATGATTTTGTATGAAACTGATTTATTTATTGATACTTTTTTTGAAAACAAGAGGTAAACGGCAAAATTGATAATTTTAAAAGTTTCGAAATATAAAAGTGGAACCAGACTGATATTTTGTAATAGATGATTATATTAATCAACAGAATTAAGAATACATGAACATGTCTATAGAAATTTTAATGGTACAATTTTAATGAAGCCTTTAACGCAAATGAGTCATGTGATTCTAATAAAAGTTACTCCTTAACTAAATATTCTATTTTCCTTAAAAATTATTGTGAACAATTTTTACATGTCATCTTTTAAGAAAACATTGGTGCGACCTAAATTCAAGTATAAAACAAGAAAATTAATATAGAAACTTTGATCTACGCGATTGCCAATAAAACATACCCGGTTTCACAAAATTTAATTTCGCTGTTTGATAAATTATCAAAATCACATTATTTTTTCACAAATCTGATATCAAAATATTGAAACCTTACATAGATAATCCGTTCCGACACCCTCGGACCTGACTACGGCGGAATTTACATTGAAAACGGTCCTTTCTATGATACTGTTTGTTGGAATGATTAGAAATGATAGTATAGAAAAGATCTGAACGAAATTGAAAGAACCAGCTGGGATCAGTGATAAAATAATGACATTGTTTAGTCATCAATCCATCCATTTTGGCGAAGCACTTCAAAGAGATGTTATCTATACAGTGGCCGTCTCTCAAATAACCTACCCCATCTTCTATACAATAAACTGCTGTGAAACATTACTTTATATTGAAATTTTGAAGCATTCTAACTTAAAGAATGGAAAGAATTCCTCTATCGGTAGTATAATAATGCAAAAAGCAAAATGATCGATGACTGTGACCAGTGAAATCTATCCATAGTCATGATATTTACATACAAATGATATTAACACCCCACTACCACCACACTTCCCCCAATTCTGATAAATCTAAACCTGTTGTTGTTATGCATGCATATACATGAAAGACAAATAATCAAGCTTTTTCTAAAGAATGCAAGCAAGGTTTATTGTTTATACTTTATCTGGGAAGCATTGAGATATAAAGCTGTTGTCACAATAATCAAAACTGCTAATTAAGCTCCTATCCCCCTTTCACAACAAACATATCAGTTTGGTACACAGGAATGTTCAGAAGTGTATTAAATTTGTATCTAGTGTGAAATGAAGCTAGAAATCTATATCATTCTGAAATGTTAACTGTTGAGATTTCAACCATACATGCAACCAGTGCAGACCATGATCAAAATGCAGTCCAGAATTACAGTGCAGACCAAGATCTGCCAGAAACCATCATTCTGTGCTGTTTGATCATGGTGTGTACTGTTCATAAATAAGTCAGTAAATTAACTTAAGGAATGCTCAATAAAATGATCATTTTGTCTAAATTAAAACATGGACAAGTCCATGGAAAAGGTAAAAGAAACATATAATCATTAAGATGTAGCTACAGATGCCTTCAGTTGAGATATAACCACAACGAAAGTCATTATTCAGATTGCTACTAATTCAGAAACATATAGCAATAGGTGATAAACTGAAGAAAACCATGGATGCTCTTTAAGTTAAGAAACCATAGCAATTGATGCCAAACTGAGAAAACCATGCAAAGTTTAAAACTATAAATGACAAGGATATACCCATATATGTCAAGTTTGAAAAAAAACAACAGACAAACAAAAACAATAACAATATTTCAACCATAGAATTGGTACAGTCACAAAACAACCCTAAGAAAACCACAGACATAAACTTATGTTAATGCTATTTAGTTTTACTTAAATTTATAGCTTTAATGAATATGATATATAAAGACACATGCACATTACTCAAGACCAGGCTCCTTTAACTGCCATAAAACTGACGAAACAATTTGAGGACAAGAATAATGCTTAAAATATGTTTTATAAACACAAATTGTGTAAATGTACAACATTATTCTTAATTGTAAATCTAGTAATTAAACAGTTTAATGCCAATAATATACAAGATTAAGCTGATTATCATACCAAAGAAAAGTACATAGCACTTATGTAATAAAAGTCATTCAATTCAACCTTTACCCCTGGGATTTCTCCTTATATGGTATGGCTTAAGCATGCATGAGTCATTGGCACAAAGTAAATTAATCACATTAAAATGTCTTAATAAAAACACTAAAAAACTTGACATGACATTTATAGCTTAAAAAAATGAAAATTTAAGTGCTCTTTACTATTATATTTCCCTGTTTGCATTATTTTAATTTATTAAATTCTAGCTACACCCTTAGGAGGAGAATCCCATAGTTTATTTACGGCCCTAAGGGAAAGTGTCAAATTAATTATTATAATACCCCTTTATTTTTTTCTATAGTATCAAACAACAAACATTTTTTATTAATATAAGAAGTGACTTTAATAACAATTATCATAAAATTTGAAATGTCCCAAGGTCTGTGTCAATAGCCTATAATGCTGGCAATAGTTATTTCTTCCCATAAATAATAAATGTTATAGAATAAAATTTTCATAATCAATATACACAATGTACTTTTAAAATTTTATTTCTAATCAAGTCATCAGTAGCCAGCAAGGGTTCTGATAGTTATGCAATTAAAATGGGTTACTCCCCTTTATTACACACTTGATTTATAACTGTATCTTTTCCATTTTTTGCAGCCAGTAATTATAAAAGAACTCCTCAGGAAAATTATGATAATTACAGTTATTGCTCTGAAAATTCTTTATCTTAATTGAATTAAAGTTTAAAGTGTCTTTCATTTTATGTAATATTCTACATTATGTACTTAGTGCTCTTAAAATTCTGTTTTAAATCATGAAAATTATACCAGAAGTATACCATTTCAATGTATATAATATTAAACCACATTGATCAACTTTATAAATATGTACTGAAAATTTTAAGAAGTCTGCAATTCCCAATAAAATGTCTGGTCAGTGCAGCACATAGGCAGATGGTTTGGGATAAAAACCCTTAAATTGAGAGGTTTGTAGAACTCAAAGTGAATTGAATGTAACAAATTTTTAACATAGATACCACTTTTCTAAAACTGCTTTCTTTCGATGTTTTTTAATAACACCAGAAAAATGATGGTTTTAGAAAAGAGACATCTACGCTTTCAATTCACTTTGAGTTAATAACCAACCTCTCTAAATGGTTTTTATTCAAAAACCAAGTGTGTATGTGGCTAGCCTGGTTGCAAAGGCTAATTAATCTGTTGGTTTTTTTTTGTTCCAGCAAGTAATAAGGGTATAAATAATCAGCATTTTTTTTTTAATTCATTACAATTTTAAGCCAAAGCTTTAAAACGTCCTCATTACCGTAACCATTTCAAATAAACCTCTTAGTTGACAGATACCTGCTGCATTAAATCGTGACATTTATTGTTAAACGGTTCATGCCCAACAATCGGTCCAAAGATCCATCAATGAACCTAAATGGGCAGAAATAATATGAATTGCCCCACAAAATAGAAAATTACATAGCATGAAACCATAAAAACATTATTAAGTACGAAATTTCTGTCATTGTCATTATGTCCTGAAAGCGAGTATGAATTCTTTAAAGCGGAAAATCATTTTACAGTACACTTAATCTGCCTTTATTTACTTATATATAGAATTGAAGAAAATATGTGTCCATTATGTATACATACATGATTGTATTACAGGCCGCGTAATAATGTACATAACGTGTCAGGTAAGAGACTATTTAAATACCTCCCACTAATTTTGCATGGCTAGTTTTCAATCTACCATACTAAACATTTCAAACTTTACACTTGCACCGAAATTTTTGAAAGAAAATTATTGTAAATTTTCAAAAATTGAGCTTGTATTTTGTGGGGTTTTTTTTTTTCTCACAATGAAACTATTAACAACCAAACCTTAATATTACAGCCTTTCAGCAATTTTATATATGCATCTATCTCCATCCTAAGCATTCAGAGGGTCTGAATCCAATTGGTCAATTTAAAATCTGAGTGACAGTGACTGTAGTAACATATGCCACAAGCATATAAAACTGGACCCAAGTCTATATAATCATTATCAACAGAAGATGTGATGCTTTCGATGCGATGTCTCGAGGTACCTGTAGCACTCTTTGACAACTAATCCAGAGGTGCTAAGTTTTATAATAAAAATGTTTATTGAAACAGTCCTTACAACACTGGCATCACTCTTGCCCTCAATTTATACATGTCCCAGGACTTTGGGATACATTTAGGACTTCCTACATATATGAATACATGTAGCTCGAAGGTCACCATTTTATCATATACAGAATATTTTATATATTGCTTGAAACCAAATATTTTATCAAAAAATTATTTCTAGAAAATTTTTCTTTCACTTCACTTAATTTCTTTAACATTTCGATCATAATTTCTCCTCAGCAAAATGTATGTAACATGCATGCTTGCCTATGTTTTTTTCTCGTCTCTGGCAGGTGGCATGGATCATTGTACTGGCATCTGACAGTTAATATTAAACAAAGTTGAGATGAAACTATAAATACTGACAGGAATAGACAAAAAAACAGTTCATGTACAATCTCGGAGCCAACTCTGGCACATTCCATTCTTCATTCTGTAGAATGAACCCAACTTTTTCTTCCATTAATATGAAGAATTCAGTAATGATTTTTCTTCCATTCACAATATTAAACTAAGCTATTCACAGCTAATAATTATCTTAAAGTGACTAATGTTAAGCTATGCTAGCTTGGAACCAAATTATTTTCAGTTGTATTGTATAATTATGACATTAAATTCTACAAAAATTATCAATTTTGACATAAACTACAAAAAAAATCAAATCTGTAGTTTAATATTATAAAAGAATACATTCTACAGTAGTAAGGAAAACGGCTCATTTCTACTCAAATGCAAGTTTATAGAAGTATGAAACATTCCATTTCCTTTATACAGTCATTTCCCTATATTTTATCATGATAGATGCATCTTACAGATTTTGATTGATTTTTTTGAAGTTTTTTTTTTTTTTCATAATAAATTGCCACACAGACACTGTAAAGTTCATTATACATATGGTTAATTCCCAGTTTACTGGTGATGGTTAACCTCAGATGCCATCTTTTGGCATCATGATCGGACACAAGTAGACACCATGCAGTAGAGCCAGGCCACGGTTGGAAAGCTTCCTCAACACACACAGAAGCCAAAGTCTGTAACGGGATTCAAACCAGCAGCAGTGAGTGGCAAGTTATTTGACGTCAGTGAGTCCTTCACTACTCACCCACTGATGCTTTTAACTTTTAAGGTAGAAAGGTATATAAAATTTGAATGAATTTTTTTCACCACTTATAGTTTAAAGGAGATCCACAGAGGTCAAAAGGCATATAAGAATATAAAATTTGAATGAAATGTTTTTCAAAGATCAAACTGAACACTTACATGTATCACTAAACAATATACAATTAAAAGGTGATAGAGAAATATACTCAGATTTAAATCAAAAATCTATTTTAATGCAATTTTTAGCCCGATATGACTTAAAAACGTTTAAACGCTTTTCATTTTTGGGGTGATTATGGTTATTCTGGTAAAAAAAAAGCAAAGTGGGCAATTGAACAGACAAGTTATAGGGTCAGACCTACATCATATGATACACTTTTCTCAAAAATATTTCCATTCCTACCATGTCAGGAACATAAGTTTATAAATATAAGCAATAAAAGACTTAATTGTCAGGGGCAATATACTGTAATATTCAGATATTAAAATCAACTTAAAAGCTGTTTTAATTTAAATATGCAAGAATATATTTTACAAAGTTAAGTATTTAAAATATTTCAGGGAAAAAATTTTTTGCTCCAGAAGAAATGCGATCCTGAGATTTCTTACCAGCGAATGCGTTTTAAAACTCATTCAGTGTCACAAAAGCACCTAATCACGTTTACTTTGACAGAAGCCTTTAGAAAGTCACTTGTCAACTGACACCGCAAAACATGTGAAATTTGAAATTCAAATCACCAGATCGGGCAAAAGTTAAGGGCATTTTATACATAGATTTGTATCAATTAAACATTATTTCTTTGCCATAAATTTTTTTACACAAACGAAATGAGATCACCGTCTCCGGCAAAAAATGATTTGAAAATGTGAGCATTTTACATATTGTTTAACCTATTTACATGTTGAAGTGTTCATTTCCTTGAATTAGGAATAAGGGGAGTATGCCAGTATTATACAAGGGTTTTTGTCATTTAATATGACAAACCCAATTAATGTCAATTAATATCTTTTTTAGTTAAATGAAGGCTTAGTAAAATATATTATTATTAAGTTAAATGAAGGCTTAATTAGTAAAATATATTATTATTAAGTTAAATGAAGGCTTAGTAAAATAAATTAAGAACATAAAAGTTACCACTGGACCCAACATCTGGACCCTCCTAATTCATTATACAATTTACTTAAATTAGTAGCCCTTATTAAGCAACATCAGGGCTCTCAGTAGGGTCAGAATTTCACGAGTCAAAGACTCTTTGGCTAAAATTTTCATGAGTCAAATAATTTTTTTCTAGTGTCATTTGACTACATGAGTCATTTTTATGTTACAAAAATAACTGTATTGGAGGTCACTTTTGGAGATTCCAAAGTCTAAATTGACAGAAAAAAATGCCTAATTATAAATGTCTATATCCCGCTCCACCTAAAAAATAAAACAAAAAACAAATAAAACAAAAACATGAATTTCTGTGAAAGCATTTCTGATTAAATGTATGAAATATAAAAAAAATATCTTTACTGGTATGCTATATCATATTAATTTTAAATACCAAAATGTACCAGGTATATTTATAACAAATGCACAGGTACTCCAAGTAAATCAAAGACGTATTATAAACCTTTAAAAGCAATCAATAATTGACACCTCAAGTATGTAATTCTTATCAGTTGTGTAGAGCTATTTTTAGCGCTGTCAAATTGCAGCCACTGAATTGTCGCGCTTCAGTGCACAGGGTATAAACAATTGCCGTGTGTAAAGCATTTTATACACGGCTTATACTGCCTGTTGACATTTTTTATGAGAGTGATTTGAACACATGTAGGATTTGATGATTAGGGGTGGATTAAAGGTAATTATTATTGCATAGCTGAAAATCCCATGTGGCAAATTGACTCTTGAGCAGATTTTATCACGTGTCAAATATGTGCATTTCCCGATTTTCACGAGTCAAAACCCGGATCCCCGTGTCAATCGAGAGCCCTGCAACATGGCACTGGCTATTTCAGCCAAAAAAAATGACCACCAAATTTGCATTTTGTGTCAAAATATTAATGAATTTAACATAAATTGGTTGAAAATATACATACAGTTTACTATACCCTATAATTTTAACATGTAGAAAGGCACCTTATTTCAGCCCCTTAGTGACTCTAAAAACATTACTTCACTATAATTTAGTATAATATTTAAGAATTTTTCATCATATTTGTTATGTCCTTAAAGATTATAGTGTTTTTGTGTATGTGTTTTTTTATAGATTTGCTTTTTTATTGACTAATAATTATTATGCAATTTAGTAAAATTAATCATGTTAAAATAAACCTTATCAGATAGGGGTTTTATTACATGTGTAGTTTTCCTTCATTTCCTAGTTCTTAAGAATAGTAGATTTAAACTAAGATGTTTCTGCAACAAGTTTCGACCAATCAAAATCCCTGATACAAATTATTTCAACAGCAGCATAGGGTATCCAATCAGGATTATTGTAAATGTTGACCAATCAGGATGGCTCTTTTCAAGAATGAAACAACCAATGAAAATGTCTGGAAGAAAATGTTTTATTAAAGGTATGATTTGTAATACTATGTCCTTTTAACCCTTCTAGAAGTGTTGTTCTACATTCTTTACTTCAGTGTCTATTCTAGGGGGGGGGGGGGGGGGGGGGGGGGGGGGGGGGGGGGGGGGATTCACTCATATTTTTGAGAATTCTCCCTATTTTTTCAGAGACAGGGGGGAAATTTTTCATAGAGAAAGAAGGGGGAAAAAATCAACAAATGTAATAAATTCTCACTGCTAGATAAAAATCCCCCCTGTTTTTTGAATCCTAGAAATTTATTAGACACAGTTCTTGTTTACTTAGTTCATTTTAGAAATGATATTATAGAGCTAAATATATTTAATACTGTTTTAGTGCTAAGGGAGAGGGGTAGGGGGAATCAGACTCTAATAATTTGAGAGCAATATCTGTGTCTTAGTCTTACCTGACGGCAAATATCCCTGCAATCCTTAGCATCTTCTGGTATTGTACTGCAACATTCTGAAATAAATTGTATTATTCTGAACAATAAATCATCTGTGTACTTGATAATTATACAGTATATGATTAATTTCTAATTTGTAATTAAGAAAATAATTTGTGCGATTTCAATTTTATATTTTTAAATTATGTATTTTGTAGCTTAAAACAAGGAAAACATATGATGAGCAGCTGACAGTTTCTTCTGATATTATTTTCAATTAATTCAGCAAATTACATTGGCTGAATAATTTACGAACGCAAAACAAAAATCACTATTCAATTTCATTCCAACAATTTACCACAACAAAGCCGAGGCTTAATTAAACAATGTTTATGTCAATCATAAGATAAAAGGTATTTCTTTAAATTGATAAGACTAAATTTTATTCTTTTCATTACATCATACATATATGCCTTTAAAATAAACTGCTTGGACTAGCTTGCAGTTCATGTAATTTACCAAATTATTGCCAGTTTCTTCTTCTGATAATACCAAGATTTTTTTATCTCATTAAAAACATGCATCTTAAAAGATTGTTTTTCTGTAAATGACATTCTCTCTGGGCAAAATAATTCAATTTATTTAAATTAGATTTCAAATTGTTAAAAATAAACTGCCTATCTCAGATTCTGATAACTTTTCTGACTCTACAAGAGCATCCTAAAAGATCAAAGAAACATCAAAGGGACCGACACGTTTCATCAAAGAAAAGCTGAAAAATACAGGTGAAAATTCACCAGATAAGACAAAACGATTCCAAAAATCGTATTTAATTTGAATGTTTTCATCTTTTTCAAGTCCGCAGAAAACTAAACAAAGTTGAATTACGGCCCACACTCTAAAATCGCATATTTCTGCGAGAACGTATAGACTGTTGAAATATACACGGATTATTAATACACAAAACATATATATATACTGTACTGTACTGCACTGTCTTGAAAACATGTTATATGTAATCAAAATAAACGAAACTATTTACGCTCAAAATAAGTAAAAGTGACAGAATTGCAGCGATCTTGAAAACGTCAATTAAACTACACTTTATTCTCTTTAATAGCAAGTTTCTGTTTTAACCGTAACGTTGACCTAAATTTTCATATAACTAGTTTACTACAAAGAGTGCTAGAGTCTTTGATGTCTTACCGTACGTATTTACAGCTAGCACAGCAGTTAAATCACACAAGATAAACAATATAAATCCCACAGCACCAAACATAGCTCATTTTACATAACTCATATCCAATACACAAAATGAAAACACAACTAGCTGGACAAGCCCTCTAACACGTTATGTGCTATATGGCTCTAAAATAACAATAAGGCTGTTCCGTTTAACCCCCGCGGGAATAATAAATTCACCGGACCGTAAGAATTCACGTCGTGCATTCGGCGCTTCGGCTTAACGATCGATTCGGTTGAAAAGGCCTGTAATTGATTTCCAGAAAAGCATTCTTAAAATGAATCGGTGCATTATGAAGTAGAATAGTTTTCTCTATCATTTTTCAAATAAATGAGACATGGCATATCATTACGTCATGACGATAAACAATAATTGAGCAAATTAACTCGCAAAATTGTTGAAAAAAATCGAAAACGCACATATGCATACAGAATTTATCAACTACAGAACAATAGCATGTTTTTGACATTTGAAACATATTTAAGGGCTGAAAATACAAGTCAAAACGTCAATTCGAACGTACATACGTTATTGGCGAAAAACATTCAAACATATATACTAGAAGTAGTAGTGCTCGGAAAATAAACTTATGAAAAAACGTGGAATAACTTATGTTGTTATTAATATTATTATTATCATTATTATTATTATTATTATTACATGTATTATTATTCGTTTTAACTCTTATTTTCATTATTTAGTCACAATTTACGGATAAATTATGTTATAAAGACATGAATAAAAGGTGACAAAAACAAAACTGTGACTTAAAATATTTTACATATTCGGAACTCCCCGTCATGATGTTTGTAAATAAGTTATCTATTTTCAGGGCGTTTCCTTCTTACTTTACATATCGTTTCAGTCAAAGAAAGCTATTTCAGAGTTGCTGGACCGGTGTACACAATGGCTGGAGCATAATATGAAAATAATTATTATATTATGTCCCAAACAATACACATAGATAAATTCATCCTTATATTACATCAATATAAATTCTTTATAATTTTACATGACGGAGTTAGCCGGATATGTACAAATATTAATGGATGCAACTTATCTCATCTACAAGCAATTAATGCGTGCTTACTTGTAATAAGTGAAAAAAGAGTGAAAAAATGAAAGAAAGAGTCTTAATCAAAGAATAATGTCTGTGTTCCATAACGATAGAAAACAGTCAAAGTGAGTATGCTTGACAGCTGTCCTAAACATACTCGCTCTCGGCCTTTACCAGATGACAGGAAATATAGTATAGCGGAGGTGATAACTTTGCAGAGTCTGATGTAGTTGTCTTTCTTCAAAAGATCGTTCATTTTAATGATTTGAGCCGCGTCACGACAAAACCAACATAGTCGGTTTGTGACCAGCATGGATCCAGACCAGCCTGCGCCTCCGCGCAGTCTGATCAGGATCCATGCTGTTCGCTATCAGTTTCTTTACTTGTTATAGGGTCTGTAAGCGAACAACATGGATCCTGATCAGACTGCGCATATTGTTTCTATAGGTGTATAAAAATCTGTCAAACAATCGCAACGGCCCCTAATCGGCAAATAAATAATTATAATCGTCGAATATCCAAATATTCTCTATTGTTTATCCTCATAGAATTAAAATTATGTTTGATATTAACTTGCTAAAATATAAAGATGAATTTTATGAAATTTTAGAAAAAAAAAAATTATTATTTAACAAGATATGGATATTTAACAGTTGACCCAAATATTGATCCTGATCCTAAAATTGTTCCTTATTCTGATCCAACATTACTTTTGTATGTGTTTTGTTATTTATCGATTTCGATATAGGGCTGTTTCTGTGCAAATCAGCATGTTTATATATTTCTTTTACATGTTTGTAAACCATTTATGATTAGCAAAATACATCAATTTTATCAGTTTTATAAAAAAAAAATGAAAATAAAATCAGGATAATTTGATCCGGATCTATTGTAAGTGAACACGGGGCCTGTGGTCTTATTAGACAGTTCCTGAAAGTAACCTACATATTCTATTCCCGATAAAAATTTAATTGAATTAAAGTACCACTACTGGCAAGGACTTTATTTAGTTTAAGTCTGTACTTCTGGTCATCAAGTTTGTCAAAATATAAATTATCTCGCTCCTATCATAATCACTGTTCCAAAGAGGGTGTTTGAAATTTTAGAAAAAATACGATCATAGAAAAATTATGACAACCGTTAAAATAATCACCAGCTAAAAGTCATCCTTTAACTACCTAGTTAAATTGGCGTTTTACCTACTAGGATAAATCGAATGCTCGCCGTGTTTCACTTGTGGTTTAACCGTGCGTATCAAAAGACCGCCTTTTTCAATTTATCACCGATGATAAACCGTTCGCTTTAGTAGTTTTGAATAAATTTATGTTCAAAATTATTCTATTACATTATACTTTCATAGTTTGTTAAATTGTCGGGATGTAAGAAGCCTTTCAACACATCTCCCAACTACATGCATAATAATTTACTTTACAAATTATAGTCGATTTTGTAGAGTACTTATTCTAATATATTTGTAAAAAGAATTTTAGTATAGAAACTAGTGAAGGATTGAAGGGTCATGAAGAAATATTTATTTTAAATTATTTCTATCGGTGATAAATAAATCGGCAAAAAAAAATGAAAATGATGGTTATTTTGTTTTCCATTCTCTATAATCTAAAACATGCTATCGAGGTAGGACCAAGCCCTAGACACTCGGGTCCCTCCCATACTACCCAGATATCTTTCAACCCCTAAAACACAATGTAATCCTTACAAAAAAACACGCGTCAGTACAAATTATACAATTCTTATAAAATATATTACTAATAGTATAAACTATACTACTCCAAGTTTGCCAAGCACCAAGAGTATTTTTGTACCATGTCAAATATTAGATTTATTTCTAATCTAATATATGATGTAGTGATTTATAAACATCATTAAGGAATTTGTTACCAATTTTAATGTGTTTTCATGTTGATTTGTTTTGATTGAAATGAAATTGTGTTTTAGACGGATATGGTGGAATTTGTGAAAAACTCATTTTTGCCCCCAAAAATCTTTCCAAATAACTGATTTTGCTTTAATAGCGAGTGACCCAGTGTTGTCTATGACAGCTTGACACCGTCGTTGCATACCCCCTATCAGGTTTCTTAGTACGGCTAGTGGAATGGTATTCCATTCGTCGACAAGGGCGGCATCAAACTCCTGGGTGCTTCTTGGCTGGACCTGACGGGCTGAAATACGGACCTGTATCTCATTCCACAAATGCTCAATGAGATTAAGATCCTGGGATCGGGCCGGCCAGTCCAAACGAATAATACCTTGTCTTTCCAAGTACTTTAGGACGACATTGACTGTATGGGGACGGGCATTATCATCCATCAAAATAAACACATTACCAATTTCACCAGCATACAACCTTACCTGGGTGTTGAGCCTCAGAAGTCACCCTTGTTCTGCCACCACCATGTCGTCTAACAGATGTACCATGCTGTTGGAACCTCGCCCAGGCTCGGTTGATAACCGTATGGTCCACACCAAACACCTCACCAACCTCACGATGTCGAGCCCCCTGCTCCACCATACTACCTGCCTGCCACAATGCTGCTTCTGATAAATGCCTTCTTACATTTGCATTCGCCATTATTCAATCTTAAATGTTCAATATTTCAATGGAAAATGAAGAATGAACACCCTACATGTGTCGGTACGTGATAAAGACTATCAAAATACATGGTCACCTTGTTTGCACTACTTGCACGTGGAAATGGCCTGTCATTCAAGGTTATGTATACACAGGGTACACTCTCGATGCATTACTACACGATTTACAATGTTAATATCATAACATTATAATTATGTTATAGAATGCATGATGCTATGTGGTCGCAAACTTTGAGAAGTATACCATGTACCGTAAACTATGTCATCAGTAGCTTTTGACTAATCTCACTGCCAATTAATAATAATAATAACAATAACAATAATAAATAAGACATGTATTTTTTTGTCTTTTTTATTAGTTATGCATATATAAACAAAATGTGTTTTACTTTTCATAAAATGCCGCGATGGAAAAGAACATCAAGTTGCCGCAATTTAAAAAAAAAGTGTGTATCATTTTGCAAGTCATACAATTTTTATCCCAGCATTTTTTTTATCAAAGCACTCAACCCCCTACGTTCTAGCAAGGGGTCTGGCTTTGATGGCCAGCCAAATGCATATTTGGTTATTTGGATGATGATAATTAACTTTTATCCACTAGTAATTTGTATTTTTTGTCGCAACAACACTGAATGTTTAGTTTAGGTCATATGCTTAACTGCTGGAGAAAGACGTCACGTGCCCCTCTTTCAATAATTTCAGGCACGAACGGGTACCTAATAGAACGTACCATCGACGTTATGTAAGCCAGCTTGTGCTCTAGCGGGATTCGAACTCACACTTGCGGTGAAGAGCAAATAGTTTGTTATCAAAGCCTTTATCCACTCGCTGAAAGCACTGCCCGGAGAATTAATAGAAATTTTTCCCTTGTCCGTCCCCGTTGATGTTTTGTTTTGACGTCAAAATGACCAGAAATACATGTACAAATTATGTCCAAATCGCGGTGCTGGGGGCTTTCACTATCAGTCCCTGTATGATAAGGCTTTTACTAGGGGTACAGCAATCGATATTATCTAAATGTCCTTAAATTGAATACTTAAAATAAATAATTATAACTATTGGATTATACTAAGTGAAACGCTATAACTTTTATATGACGTTATACAACAGACTTTCCGTTTGTACATTTAAATTCTTCTACCCTTATCAAAAAGGACCATACTTCAGTGGAATCAATGTTAAAGTTGCAGACCTTGGAAAGTAACCTCCAATTATGTACTTAAAGACATTGTGTAATTATAGTGAATATTTTTAGTGGTCGAAGAGATATGTTGCACAAGAAGTTGCACCGAAAACTTATATCCAAGTACATATAATTACTCCAGCGTCCGGTTGAGTCAGATAGTCCTTTTATATGGCTATGGGAAAAAAAACAGTCAAAGGTAGGACAAATAATCCAATTGAACTATACAAGCAAACGACATATAAACTATTTTGGCACTTAGTAATACCTACAAAGTTTTCAACGTGCCGAGCCTAAGGGAAGCTTTACATAAAGCACACAAGTAGAATGAGGTAGGGACCTAAGCTGCGTTTCATAGAAAGTCCTAAGTGTATCAATATTCAATAGTTCTAGGACATAAGACTAACTTTAGGACGAATTTTAGACGGTAACCATTTTTAACCTTAGTTAAAGACTTCGACTGTCATTAAATTAATCCACTTGTGAAGAGTTAAGAAACACAATGACAACTGATGTTTCTATCTGCAATGCGTTAATCTTCATCAGAAATTGAAGGTGTCATTACATTGGAGTCTAAGTAAAGATATTTTCGTTGAAATGAAAAATTGTCTCAGGAAATTTCTAGGAAAAGCAAGCCTAGACTTTCAGAGCAAAATCTTGATAAATGTGTATCTGCATGTGCAACAATACAATATGCTTTGTAGAAAAAAAATGAAGTGTGCCAATACATTTTTGCAATTTTTATCCAAAAGGGAGACGACTTGAAAATAATATTTAGTTCTCTCTTGCAGTGCCCTCCCTTTCACTGCATTGTATCGGAAACTTATATTTCTGGTGTAATTCTATGGAGACTATGTCAGAGATGTAGATAACATGTTAAAATATTGGTAACTTTCCATGCCTTTCACTAAGAAAAACATAGCAGAACATATCCACTGAGCCAGTTTTTTCATCATATGCATAGTTTTGTAACAAAAGTTAATAAGTAGTTCTCTATCATTTATTTAAATGGGAACTGTAATTATTTTACCTGCAGCCATAGACAAATGCATAAGCTTTCAGAAAATGTATTATTTTATTGATTTTGATATCTGGTTAATAATTCTTTTTGCTACAAGTTTTAAGTTAAGCAAACAGGCGTGATATTTTAACTGGCTAGGAAGTTACCTATCACTGTTATCTTTGTCTCCGAGTGCATGTTAACATTTTACCTGTGTGACGTTATGTACCCGACGCATAATATACTCCCCAACAGATAAAGAAAATGTTGACCTTTGATAATTCTATATCCTCTTTTTTTCTAATTACTGATAAGGGAAGGAACTCCTGATTATAATAAAAAAAAACACATATCTATTATAGATATAGATATTTTATTTGTTCGTAGGTTACACATAACTAATTTATATTATAAAAATACATACCGGTATAACTAAATTAAAGAGAAACAAGAGGGCCATGATGGCCCAAGAGGGCCATGAGGTCGCTCACCTGTATATAGGCCCCCGGAGCGGGGCCAGTTTAAACCCCAAAGCTTTTATTTGAACAAACTTGGAAAACACCCATTAGAAGATGTTTCATGATGTTAAGTTTTTACTACACACATATAATGAAAAAACATATAATGAAAAACAATGACCTCCTTGTTCTCCCCCCACCCCCGGCAGGGCCAATTTTAACCCAAGGGTTTTTATTTGAACAAAGTTTGTAGACACTCACTAGAAGATGTTTCATGCTTAATATCTAATCCCTAGCTATTTGGGTTTTTTCAAAGAAGATTTTTTAAGTTTTTGATATACACATATAAGGAAAATCAATGACCCCCGGGGCGGGGCCAATTTTGACCCCAGGGCTTTTATTTGAACAAACTTGGTAGACACCCATTAGAACATGTTTCATGCTAAATATCTTAGCTCTAGCTCTTTGGGTTCTTTAAAAGAAGATTTTTTAAGTTTTTACTATATGCATTTAGGGAAAATCAATGACCCCCTCGGGCTGGGCCAATTTTGACCCCAGGGCTTTTATTTGAACAAACTTGGTAGACACTCACTAGAAGATGTTTCATGCCAAATATCTAAGCTCTAGCTCTTTGGATTTTTTTAAAAGAAGATATTTAAAGATTTTTCTTTTGGTTGCCATGGCAACCAGAGTTCTGCATGGAATTAAATTCTTTGAACAATTTTTAAAGGTGACCACCAAAGGAACATTCCTGTGAAGTTTGGATGAAATGGACTAAGTGGTTTATGAGGAGATGTCATTTAAAGTAAAAGTTTACGGCCGGACGCCGGACGAAAAGCGATCACAAAAGCTCACCCTGTCACTTTGTGACAGGTGAGCTAAAAAGATATAATACTTAGATTCCTAGATCTACATAAAATAAAGTGAATGTTGGTGATGCACAGGTTTTTAATTTGTGATAAAGATAATAATGGTAAAAACATTATAAAATCATGCTATTTTAAGGTTAAACAACCCACCCTACCCCCCCCCCCCCCACCCCAAAACAAGAGGGCCATGATGGCCCTGAGGTCGCTCACCTGTATTTAGGCCCCCGGAGCGGGGCTAGTGTAAAGCCCAGGGCTTTTATTTGAACAAACTTGGGTGACACTCATTAGAAGATGTTTCATAATGTTAAGTTTTTACTACACACAGATAATGAAAAACAATGACCCCCCCCCCTTTGGCAGGGCCAATTTTAACCCAAGGGCTTTTATTTGAACAAACTTGGTAGACACCCACAAAAAGATGTTTCCTGCAATCTAACCTCTAGCTCATTGGGTTTTTTAAAAGAAGATTTTTTAAGTTTTTACTATACACATATAAGGAAAATCAATGACCCCCGGGGCCGGGCCAATTTTGACCCCAGGGCTTTTATTTGAACAAACTTGGTAGACACTTATTAGAAGATGTTTCATGCTAAATATCTTAGCTCTAGCTCTATGGGTTCTTTAAAAGAAGATTTTTTAAGTTTTTACTATATGCATATAGGGAAAATCAATGACCCCCTGGGGCGGGCCAATTTTGACCCCAGGGCTTTTATTTGAACAAACTTGTTAGACACTCATTAGAAGATGTTTCATGCTAAATATCTTAGCTCTAGCTCTATGGGTTCTTTAAAAGAAGATTTTTTAAGTTTTTACTATATGCATATAGGGATAATCAATGACCCCCTGGGGCGGGGCCAATTTTGACCCCAGGGCTTTTATTTGAACAAACTTGGTAGACACTTATTAGAAGATGTTTCATGCTAAATATCTTAGCTCTAGCTTATTGGGTTCTTTAAAAGAAGATTTTTTAAGTTTTTACTATATGCATATAGGGAAAATCAATGACCCCCGGGGCGGGGCCAATTTTGACCCAAGGGCTTTTTATTTGAACAAACTTGGTAGACACTTACTAGATGATGTTTCATGCTAAATATCTTAGCTCTAGCTCCATTGGTTCTTTAAAAGAAGAATTTTTAAGTTTTTACTATATGTATATAGGGAAAATCAATGACCCCCTGGGGCGGGGCCAATTTTGACCCCAGGGCTTTTATTTGAACAAACTTGGTAGACACTTACTAGATGATGTTTCGTGCTAAATATCTTAGCTCTAGCTCCATTGGTTCTTTAAAAGAAGAATTTTTAAGTTTTTACTATATGTATATAGGGAAAATCAATGACCCCCTGGGGCGGGGCCAATTTTGACCCCAGGGCTTTTATTTGAACAAACTTGGTAGACACTTACTAGAAGATGTTTCATGCCAAATATCTAAGCTCTAGCTCTTTGGGTTTTTTAAAAGAGGATATTTCAAGTTTTTTCTTTCGGTTGCCATGGCAACCAGAGTTCTGCATGGAATTAAATTCTTTGAACAATTTTCAAAGGTGACCACCAAAGGAACATTCCTGTGAAGTTTGGATGAAATTGGCTTAGTGGTTTATGAGGAGATGTCATTTTAAGTAAAAGTTTACGGACGGACGCCGGACGAAAAGCGATCACAAAAGCTCACCCTGTCACTTTGTGACAGGTGAGCTAAAAAACTACAGAACAAAAGTATTTCATGTTGTTTATATAAAACAACATTATCTTTTTCAGCTGCCGAAAGTGTTTGGCTCACTCACACTGCTTTAGCCAAACTCCCCATAGCAGTTTCTTCCCCTGACCAGAATTTACTTCCTCTGATTAGGACAGAAGTCATCACAGAGCCACATATATTTTTTTTGCTTTTAATTTCAAATTTTAATAGCTTACTGACCTTCACCGCAGTATTACCTTAAATTGCCCATTATTGGTCCATACCTTCATATCTGTACTAAAATACTTATAATTATTAATACCTGTACAAATAAGTCCATAACCTGATGAAATTGTGTAATATTTAGATCAGCTCTGCTTTAAATTGATATTGAAACAATCTATTTGAAAATCAACTAGGCATTCTGACATCAAAATACAAGAGCTGTCAGTTGGACAGCGTAGTGATTGTTCTAGCTGGTTCAGATTTATTGAGAAAAACACAGTAAGTTTGATTGCAGGAATGATGAGAGGGGCAAACAACTACCATTACCAAATACTTAAAAACATCACCGAGCATAAAAACAGACAAAACATGTAAAAGATAAAAACAATAATTGCTAAAACAATTAAAGCAGCATGCCTCCAGATAATCCCTTCTTTGATAACTGAGTATGTATTTAAAAGTACAATATTGTGAAGGGAACAAAGCAAGTAATTTACACACTGCAAACAGCACTTACAATCTACCAACAGGATGTCAAAATATGCACAAACAGCCCTTACTGCATTAGTCACGCAGTAGAAATATGTTGATAAATACATTCTATTGCAAAATCAGTCATTAATGATAATCGCAGATAAAATGTAAATTATTACTTGAATCTGTTAACTTTTCTTAAAACCTTACCACATTCTTCTTGAAATATTTGACTTATTTGAAGGTATGCAGCTTTAAACATTAACATACAAATATATTTTCAAACATATTAAAAACTATTTATTAAAACTTGTAAAAATACATGTAATTTTCATCAAACTACTTTATCATAGCCCTTATTATAAAGATATATGGCAAAGTAAAAGATAAAAATGAAAGTGCAAATGGCTCTAATAACAGAACCTTTTACAACATACATACTCCTCTAAGTAACAAAATTTACTTCAGCAGTGCCCATAATTATGGTTATAATAAGATATATAAACTATATAACCCAACCAATGGATTGCAGGTTCCAGCCTGCTCAGGGTCACAAACATATGACATCAATGCTAGTTAGTTCAATAAAGACAAAGTAGTTAAAATTAAGGTTTCACCTAAAACAACATTTCTGATGAAAATATGTTAGGTCGATATACTTCCAAATTTACCATAATCTTCATACAATAATTGTTTTATTATAATTTATGACAAATTGAAATTTTTCATTTGGTTAATTTTCAAAGTTGTACATTTCCTTTTTCAAGCAAACAAGCCTTAAATAAGTAAACAGAAAGTGCAGACTTAACAATAAAACAAAATTAATATAAATATATCTTAACATTGATAAAATATAAGGAAAATATATATGCCAATATTTGGTAAGAAATATTATTCATAAAGTAATAAAACTAACAAATATATTGTACTAATTCCACTTTATTTTAAGAGGGCCCACCATGATAATGTTATTACAAGTTTTGGCAAAAACACTTTTGTGCATAAACTTTAGTGTTATATTTATATAAACAATCATGTATATTTGGTCATATCAAGTCAAGAATGCAGTTAATTTACAGATATACTATGCTCATTCTTAATTAAGTAAAATATTTTAATCACGAATAGTTATTGAAATTTATGAAATTGTTACTGAATATGTCTAATTTGAAAAAAAGAAAGAGTTGGCTATGTATAGGAAGCTGCGTTCCCTATTACAGGACAAGTAGTTGGTCTTTTCTTGAAAAAACTGCCAGTTTGTTTAATGACACTATGTCTTCATATTGTGGTCAAATTTAGTGTGGTGGATTTTAAACATAATGTATCTACTTTGTGACAGTGTGAAGTCAAAACATGTTTTATTATATATGTACAAAAGGACTATATGTAGCAATTATCAATATTTTCAAATAAAAAAATTTGAGCAGAGTATATCTTTAAGAAAAAATAGATATTTAAGTACATTTCCGAATAAGAAGAGACAGAAAAAAATCCCAAAAAACAAGCTAACAAAAAAACAAACTCAAAAGCCAAACAAGGGGAAAAAACTTCTACTGGTCTACATAAATTGTAGTCTATGCTTCTCTCCCTTTACATAAGAGGAGGAAAAATTGTATGACATTCTAAATAACCGAAAAAAATCAGTAACAATAAACATAAAAATAAAACCGTAACAAAAACTAGATAAATAGCAAGTTCGCTTATTTGATATTTAAGATCAAGTTTTTATTTCACTTTTGAACATCTGCTGTAAAATTTTACCTAATGACTTTGCCAGATACTGAAATAGTATGTCTAGTTTTCACTGGAAGAAATATAATTTAATCTTAACACTGAAAACACACAAATATTCTTGTGTTTACCTGCTGGGGGTAGAGCTGTCATATAGAGATGATATCGTTGATATTTTTCTGTCCATCAATAATCAATACACATTTTAAAAAATTGATTATTTTGAAACATTATTTAAATGTCTATAAATTATGAAAATTCACTACAAATCATAAACAAAAGCAGGTGGCCATGTCTAACACTAAGCTGTTACACATTTTGGTGTATCGCCAATATTTGTCGTCCGATATTGGTATATCGTCAAAATGCTTTGCACTGAATCAATCAATGACAGCTCTAGCTTGTGGCGACTTAATCTACCCATGCCAGACCATAGCAGACTTAGATCCGCAAACCCCTGCCATCTGAATATGGTCTGTTTGCTATTCAGCCAGTACATATTTTGAATATTTTTTCTATAAACAAGGAATGGTTTTATCTAGTTGGAATGATGGACATGTCAATTTGACATTTCTAGAACAGTCAGGGTTCATTCTTTCTTTCCTGTAAGTGTATAAGTCAACAAGTTAAGGTAGTCTTACTGTAATGCTTTCCCGCCAAAAAATTCTAAAACTGGCCAATGTCGTAATAAATCGGTCTTTTCCGGAACGTTATTTTTCACAATTTTCGGTATTCAATAAATCTAAACCATTTATAACCCGAATTTAGTACATATTAATTAGTAATGAGTGATTGTTAAAAAATCTAATACCAAAGATTTCTAGAAAAAAACATTCCGGAAATAAAAGATTTTGCTACGATATTGGCCAATATTAGAACATTTTGGTGGAAAAGCATTGCCATTACAATATGACTACCTTAAAGCGACCTAACACCTCACAATCTGTTACTCTCTTTGGTCACCGGTCAACTTCGGTCATCGGTCAACTGTCATCGGTTGTTAAAACTGTTAAGATTTACACCCTGGGAGGCCAGCACCCCGAGCACTTTGTCCAAAACTTCTTCCACTGTACCCCCAGCATCTATTTCTATTAAAGATGGGGATGTCATTCTTCTGTAACTGTCACACAATCTACAATATCAATAAATGATACATGAATATCAAAAATTACTCTTTTTTTGTCTTGTAGAAGTTACGTTGTTTTTTTGTCATACACAAATCATAATTCATTTGTTTACGCTACAGAAACTTTTACTTTTCACATACATTTTGTATCTGTTTTTACTATACAAATTTCAATCACCTTATATTTGTTTACAATACAGAAATTTATTTATATATTTGTTTATGTCGGAGAAATTATTTTATTTTGTTTTCACTTTAATAGAAATTTAGAAATTTCCATTTGCATTCACTTCAGACATTGCATATCTTTGTTTAACAGTGATATGCTAGAATTATTGTTCTTAAAGTGATTCCACTGGAGTCTAAAACATACAACTCTTATCGTATATACATTAACTGGAGGAAAATGAGTAAAGGATGATAAGATACATTCTGATGTACCTCTGAAATCGTTTTTTTTTTTAATGAGATTCTATGCCTGATTTGAGTTAAAAGTTTTAATTGCTTTTTGAGAACATTAAGAGCCAATGTTTGTTTTTTGGGGAAACAATATCTCCCTACCTCACTATTGGCTTAAAATGCTATTTACTTGCTATAAATATAACTTAAAATGTGCTCGTTTTATGTCTACACATGTACATAATAAACAGCTGCGGTATATATATATATAAATGCATTTAAGTGACGTGTTTGTAATCATACTATTAAATATTATAACTGCTTTATTTTAACAGAATAGAGCACTATTCATTCCTTGCACAATATCTGACACAAACATGGTAGCCATGTCTGAATAATCATACTTCATACCGTTGTCTGAATAGTTGATCATTATCAAGACTTATTTCTTCAAATGTTGCTGTTATACCACGTCCAGTAAGTCTTTGTTTCCTCACGTCCTCGGACACGGTCAAGAATAGAACGAGGGTCGGCTTCAACAGGTCAGTTGGCCACTGATACACGGAATGACCAGCCGCTGGCATGTCCTGGCTGCTAGATTCATTGGCTATTCCATACGCTGCAGTACTGTGCCAAAATCTGTATGAAAAAAAAAAATCTGGATTGGAACATGAGCTGTCAGTAGGACAGCACGCTTGACTTTTCTTAGTGCTTGATTGATACCAGTAATGTAAAATTTTCTAAGTTAACAAAAGGGCCAAATATTTTTTTCTTTCAAATCCATGTTACACTTTTAGGCCTTGGCTAGATTCATTGGCTATTCCATAAGCTGCAGTACTGTGCCAAAATCTGTATGAAAAAAAAAATCTGGATTGGAACAAGAGCTGTCAGTAGGACAGCACACTTGACTTTTCTTAGGTCTTGATAGTTAAATGGCCTTGATACCAGTAATGTAAAATTTTCTAAATTAACAAAAGGGCCAAATATTTGTTTTCTTTCAAATCCATGTTACACTTTTAGGCCTTGGTGAAGAGTCCTATTATGGTCACAAAGAAGTGTACAAAATTTCAACTTGTTCCAAAGCAAGATGTCAATGAAATATGAAAATATCTGAGGTGGTACGCAAACTTTAATGTAAATTTTAAGTTGAAAAAGGGGCATTATTTTGTCAAAAAGCTTGATAGAGTTACCTTCTCCTGTCTACAGGTTGGGGTCATGATGGTGAACATGTGTGCAAAGTTTGAAAGCCATATGTCATTGAACTTTTGAGGTGCTACAAAAACTTTAAAATAAGTGGTACGCTGATGCTCTGGTGAATAGGATAGCTCTACTTATTCTTATTGAATAGTCGAGCTAAAAAGTATTCTGGATTGGAAAAACATGGCTACTGTATATGCTACCCCTGGTAATAATTGGCAAATATCATTACAGAAGAATCAAATTAAAAGTATTAAGAAATTGCCTTATTTTACCTGCCTGCATAACAACATTACTGATAAAGCCAATAAAGAATGTTGTTTATAACCATGAACTATTTATCTTCATGAAATTTCTTCATAAAATGAATATTAAGTAAAGCCAGGCTTACAAATATCTTATTTTCTCTTCCTATAACCAATGACTGTTTGGGTGGGAGAGTTAGAAAATGAATTTTTTCTATACAAAACATTAAATTTACTAAGTATTAAGTTTAAAGAAATTCGCTTAAGTACTTTTGAAACTGTGCTCCGGACAAAATTGGGACGGCAAAATAGATGCACAGACGGAGACCATTTTACTATCCCCATCCATCTTTGGTGAGGGGATAAAAACATACAGGGAGAGGGGACAGCACTTAGGTAGGTAACAGGATAGGAAACAAAATATTTTATGTTAGGCATACAGAATTTTTTCTTGAGAGAAGAACAGATCCATATTCATATTGTACAAAACTTATATACATATATAATAAAATAAATAATAATTATGTACACTGAAACAATAATTTTGTTTTGATTTCTTGTAAAATGGACACTATCATCTGGCAACTTTTCAGCTTTTTATGAAGGAGAAAGCAGACTTCCTGAAATACGTCGGTCCGACGGACATGTCCGATAAATTTTGATCAGGTCCGACGAGTTTTTATTCCGGATCGGTCCGACTGTCCGGCTTTTATCCACATGTATACAAAATGGCGTCGCTAAAGGTGCCAAACCTTGGAAAAATAAAAATCTATGTCAGAGGAACAGGCAGAACAGCAGTAAAAGGATAAAAAGAATAGACCTGAGACAAAATTTAATGAAAATTAGAAGCAAGACAGTGAATCGTTGGTGTACGATAGGGAGGAGATGAAAATGCGCTGTAAGGAATGTGCCGATTTTTACGGCGAAAAAAATCAAAAACAAAAAGTTTCTTAGAAATACAAACACAAGTTATTCTTTGATTTTGATCAATTTTATTTGGTCCGACAGATTTCGTTTCGGTCCGACAGATTTTCATGGTTTGTCAGACCGAATGTCTGACAGTTTTTTTCAACTTTCGGGAAGTCTGAGAAAGACCTCATGTCTTTAAACTACATGTATATTTCAGGCAAGGGTGACAAGAGTGACTTGAGTTGTGTGCTCTAAGTCATTTAGATAGCACATTTTATGAAAGACTCCAACTTTCCTGGCAGGGTTTGAAGACAATGAGAGAAAAGTAATTTGAACTTGGCCACCATAAACACTTTGCCATAGACTCCCTTGTATCATTTAAAATAAAATAATAAACCTAACCTGTCCATTATAACAGGTCTGGTTTTACACTCCTGGATGATCTCATGAGCCACAATATAATTGCCCAGGCTGTAATATGCCCTTCTCACAATCTCTGGGTATTTATCAAAGAAAGCCCTCAGATGTGTTATTTGAGGTGGTGGGGTAAAATATCGAGCAGCACCCATCTTCTTCTCAAGCAGTTCTGTCAGTGTAGTTTTCCCTTTAAATAACAACAAAATCAACAGTTTGAGTTACATGTAACAAATGTTACCACTTTATTATAAAAGATTTCTTTGATGTATATCGAAGTTTCTGAAATAAAAAGCATCCATATGGGGGATGTTGCGGTCATTTTTAAGCCTAAGGGTATGATTAAAATATCAATTAAATATTCTCTAGACAATACATAATATCATCAATAACTGTACAGGAACTCCAGTGAGGCCCAAAAGGCTATTAAAGACAAAAAATCAACTGGGGCACTTAACACAGAGAGATACGGCTAAAGATAATTATGAAAATATACAAAGAAATAAATTGAAAATCTATTTTTTGTGCCATTCTTAGCCAGAGTTCAGTGACAAGCATACAATTTGGATTATATTTGACAATTAAAATATTATTCCTGAAAGATGGATTGACAGAATGATCTAAAATTTTGCACACAAGTTATTAGACTATACGTACATCAAATGGAACATTAATTCCATAAATTATTACAAGTCCCATCATGTGCCTTTCATTACATTTATAGTAAAACCTCTCAGCTTTATTGGGTAAGGATAGAATGTTTCAATGACTTTTGAATCTCCTTCCTGATAATTAGAAATGTTGTCACATGGTTGTGACCTAGGACAGGCTCAAACACAGTACTCCCTTAGTTGAGAGACAGAAGACACAACTCTCCTTTGAACAGACATGTCCAGCCTCCTTTTTTGGAACTGTCCATTATCAATTTTAGGGATATCAAGATGAGAATATAGTATTAAAAAACAGTCAGCTAATAGTAAAGCACCTGGTCAGGCTGGAATGATGTGCAGGTTGCCATGGCTTTATACTGATGGCAAAGGCTGATCACTTTCTGTTCCAGCAAGTAAAGAGTAAAAAACTGTCAAAACAGAAATTTTAAATTTTAGCATTTCACACTGTCAAAAAAAAATTCTGTAATTTCTTATTTATATCATTTGACATTATAAACAAGAAATGTACCAGTAGCGTCCATGCCTTCTACAACTATAAACGGATGATCAAGAGTTTCTTCGCATGATTTCCCTGTTCCTACTGTCACATATTTGCCAGAAATATCCAACAATTCTTTGACTTCCATGACATCTGCAAGCTATATAAATGTATGTATTAATGATACATGTAACACTGTCACCTGTACCAAATTTTTGTGAGCGGATACTGTTAGATACAGAGGTGTTAGGAAAGGGGAAGGTGCATTTCATGATTATAACAATGATAGTCAAATGATTTATTTTTAAAATTTGCTAGGATAACAAGGGCACATTATGTCAACTGTCGTCAAAAACCCTTTAACAGAGTTATGGACTGGTCAAGATTTCCAATCTGCAGACCCTTTAGTTTGGTGCTTGGGGTCTTGTTCTTGCACAAACTTTGAACACGATTGATTTATTTTCCCAATTGCATTTTCTTCTTTTTTTATATATAATTATCATTGCAATTTTTAATAAGAAAAATTAGAAACAAGTATAAACAGTTTTCTTCCTTTAAAATCATGTTTTGAATTGACAACAGTTTAATTCAATTGAAGCTGTGTTAAAATGAAGACCTCTAGACCTTGTTCATCTTATTAATACTGAACTACAAGTTTTAAAAAAAGACTCCAAAGAGAGACCCTCATGTCTACATCCCCCATTTATAAAATAAGGGGTTAACATTTGATTATTGTGAGACAAACAATAAGACCACTTGCAAGTTACACATTTAAAATGTAAGAAAACTACAGAACAGAAATCTAAACCTTTTCCAAAACAGCAAGACACTCGCCATAACTATGGAACACTGGACTTATGTCTGAAATTGAAAATATAGGAGAGGCTTTTATATCACATTCCCCTGTGTTTTTAATTCTAGGCTGATTTATCATGTCCAATTCAATCACACTATCTTCACTGTTACCATCATCACTGACAAGTGTCATTTTAAAGGTGTTCTGTGGATTTGAACACTCAACTATTTCATAGGCTATAAAGTTTTTGTTTTCCCTGAGAAACTCGAGCAATTGAGAATGGAAATATGTACGGTGTTCAGGGTTTGTGCAGCAACAGAAAACGCCTCTACTAGCATGACCTTGAAGCCGCTCTCGTGTGAACATTTCATCAAATAGAACAGCATGGGACATTACGGATGATTTCCAAACATCTTTTTGTCTATATGCTAGGTGAGACTTGATAGCAGAGTTGATATAACACACACTAGGAATAGAGTCAGCCGACTCACTTTTAGCAAACAATAGGTACTTTGCGATATTTTCTTTCAAAATTTTAGATTCATTTTTCGAAATTCTACTTTCACTTTCGTTTTGGGCTAGTTTCTTTCGCTTGAAATAAATAGGCACATCTGGGCCAGCTATATAAATATAACTCCAAGGATTATAAGCACTAGAGGACATCGTTTGTGTATATTTTTCAAATTTTATATGGAAATATCTTAAGATTTTCCCATTTTCAACTAACGATGAAATTCGCGCGCGACAAGCTGCAAACATTTAAACGGTGTTTGTGAAATAAACAGTTTGTCCGTAACATTTGAAAAAAGACGCCTAAATTATTGCTATCATAGGTTGGACATGACTAAATGATATTTAAGCTATATAATTATCTAAAATAACAAAGAGACAAAGCTAGTCTTCTTGGTAAAAGTTTTAAATAAGGTTCTCACTCAATGTAGGATATTCAAAAAGTTTATAATTAATAAACTTGCTAGAGTTGTTGAAAAAAGCATATTATCAACGACCAAACATTTTTAAACTAGAAAATATTATGTGTACGAAAAACAAATCTGAATTTCTCAAATTGTGTAAATTTGTTAAATGTATTATTCAAAAGATAAGAAAATTAACTATTCAGAAAATACTGTGTTATTTATTAAAATTAGTTCTAAATTTTTTAAAATTATTATTTTAAGTTTTTTTTGTCACCTTTTTTGAGCCTCGTTGATATACATTTTTTTGAAAATTTCCCCATATTTGCATGTATAACATCAGATTTAGAGAAATAAAGATTATGTTATGTTATGTTATGTTAATATTACTAAGTGTTTGAAAAATTGAAAGTGTTTTGTGTTTAATCATTTTATGTCATTATGACTGATAACTGTATTGATTGTGGATATATTGCGCGCGACAGACAGGAGATACATGTACCTGTGTTAGATGGCAGCATCTCTATAATTAATCTTACTTAAAAACTGTTAAATGGAAACACTTAGTGTGCTTTTGGTCAACAATTCTTTTTTCTTAACATACAATAACATAGTAAGATTTGAACACACATAAGGTTTTTCTTTTCCATGATTTTTGTAAATAAAAAAAAGTTTAGTTTTTTTCTCAAAAACTTCTATCGTAGAGAGGTTAAGGTTGAAGACAGACGTCACCTTATTTTCGCGACGGTAAAAACAGTAAACTATGCACGTGTTGCTTGTTTGTTATTATTGATAGTTTTTATATAACATAAATAATAAAAGATATCATCGTTTTGTTTTGTTTTTGTTTTTTTGTGATTTTTTTTATTTATTTCTTGATAAGTGTTTATATTTTAAAGAAAAATAATGAATAAATAAATAAATGAATAAAAAAGGGGCCGGGTTGACCAGAAATAACATAGGTTTGGGGCCGGGTTGACCAATTTGGTGCCGGGCTGACTTGAGGCCGGGTTGACTTGGGGTCGGGTTGACTTGCACCTATTCGTGCAATATTATATTTATATATTATCAGGATGAGAGATATGGTGCTTATAATTATGCTTATTTGGAAGGCATTTTATTCCCCCAGAAACGAATATATTTTCCTTCTTTAGAAAGGTCAAACATAAGTTTAATATCGTTTAAAAATAGTTTTCGAAAACATGTATGCTAAATGTTTATCAGCTGAAGAAAGAAGCACTGATTATAATTTTTCATAGAAGCAGCGTCTTTCAAATAGAAATTTTATTTGAAAGACCCTGATAGAAGTAACAAAATAGTAGTATTTTGATTTCCATGCAAAATCATTATAGCTGTACCAACTGCTAAAAACAACTAAAGCCAAAAGCTTGTTCACCTGAAAATCAAATGAGTAACTGTTTTTGAAAAATATAAGATGATATCATTGAGAAATAAAAACAAAAATTCTTTGGCACAATGGACTTACGAAAACAAAAGAAGATGATAACTATTTATGTAAGTAGTGAACTTTACAATGTGTATACAGCAACAAATCATCACGTATGCGAGTGATTCATATTTGTATCAAAACGCTATAAACATTTGCAAGTTTTCAATCCAAACAGTGAAAAATTGTTGATTTCCATCATCGTGAATTGACCGAAAAAGAAGCGAGTTTCTAAAACAAGAGTTCAATCCATTTTTGTATTTGATTGTACATCGTGTAAAGAATAGATATAATTATGTCAGTTTTTAGCTTCAGTATGAATCATTGAAAAGTCACATATACCTTTTGTTATTTTGAAGTAGACTAACTCTCAATTTTGATAATACAATATTGCCCCCTCCCACCAAATAAATAAATAAATAAATAAATAAATAAATAAAAAAAATAAAAAATAAAAACATCCCAAATCAGACCCCATTAAATTCAAATCGATGCAAGAATTCAAATTTTCATATGAACTATATCTGTTTCGTATACATTTGTATGTAGGCATTTGTTTCTATTATTATTATTATAAAATATTATTATTATATACTAAATGTGACTTGTATTGGAATTTTGATATTTTAATAATAGTTTTCTTAACTGTATACCATACTTTTCTTATATATTTTAAAACATGTATTTGTTTTTTCCAATAATGTATTTGACTTGACTTGTAAACAATGTATTTGACTTGACTTGTTCATTAAACAATGAAGATATATTGTTGAATAATTTGATATCAAGCTTGCAACCAATTAGTACAATCATACTCATGTAAATTTACATGTAACTTTTTTGGTTTCATAGGTATGCCAAAGAAGCTAGTAATAGAAAGAGCATCGAAACACGAAGCTATCAAGAGAAAGGGAAAGCGACAGAAATATCATATTCAGATGCTCGTTCATTGGTTACTTTTTTCCGGGGTTTCATATTGTGATACAGGGAACGTGTTATTATGTTTGACTATGATAAAAAAGAGAAAGAACATCAAAACACTCGGCAATCTGATTAATACTCGGGGGCTATGCCCCCTCGTACAAATAGCCTCATGTTTCGATGCTCTTTCTATTACATAATTCACAAGCCATAAAATGAGTTATAGAAATATTCACCATCTATGACATGGAGTGCGAGTTTGTATGCCAATAAAAGCTATACATTTTTTAAATGAATAATTTTAAAACGTATTAGAAATTGAATTTAAAGTGAATGCAATTAAACAGAAGGAATGGTAGTAAAAAAAGAAGGTAATAAATACGGTTGCACAGAGGTGACATTTGTGCGTTTTTATCTATCTCGTGTGTACAAGATACTATGTCCTGTGCACCACCTTATGATCTCGTGCGAACGACTTAGTAACTCGTGACCACGACATATAGTATCTCGTACGCACCACTTAATCATCTAAATGCGCACGACTAAGTAACTCGCCTCAACGACATAGTATCTCGTGCGCACGAGATAAATAATAACACACACATGTCACCTCTGTGCCACAGTAATTTCGGACACACAGAGTCTTTGCTAAATTATTGATATTTTAAATACTTTTACTGTCATATAATTTATTTATCTAACAGTGGATCGTTTCCAAATACTATAAAATTTTATGAAAATGCATTTAGAAAAGCATTAAGATCTTTATTCTCAGTAACGAGATCATGACCCAGTAACAAAATACCAGCGACAATTATGTCACCTTAATGCAATAAATTTAATGGTAAACTCCTATTAAATTTAGAAGGCTTTAACAAGTTATCTTGACGAAATGTGTTAAATTTATGCTGAAATGTTCTTTTTAACAAACCGGGCTTTAAAATGGCTTTGAACTGTGCTCTGGTGAATTCTTTGTGGCTTACTGCACGGTGATAGGGCGATTTACACAACTTTTCCGCGCAACGTCAAAATATCATCTTTCTGACCGAGACACCGTATATTTCTGGACAAAATATTAATGGCGGGATAAACAAATTCCAGGTAATAGCTTACAAAATATCTTACTGCTGGACATTGCAAGATTATTCCAATTGTTTAAGTATTCCATCGAATTTTTGAGACAATTTATTGTTAATCTAGCACAATACAATTCACACAAAAACACATACTTCGAATAAATAGTGTTTACAAAAGATCGTGTGTACCTCAAGATGACTCGTACTTGTCACAAAAACATGAGTTATAACGACGATGTCTTTGTTGTATGACCTAACGAGCTCGTATATTTATTATGGTTAACCCTAAGTTTAAGTTCCATACAAAATTGTGTGTTTCTATCGTAAATTTCAGGGAATTTATGTTGCAAAAAAGGCCTACTGACCCGAATATGGAGCACCGTACAACACTGAATTCAAACACCAAATTCTTTTTCCGTTAGACCGATAAATACTGGCACCGTCTTCTTTTGAATTATACAATCTTCTTACAAGTATGTTTTATTTGATGAAACATTGTTTACTTGCTGTTATGTTATGTCATACGTTATGTTATGGAAAATTTCTGAAGGTCTGATCTGTGTTAATACTACCAGTTAGATAGGTGCAATGGTATCTATATATAGATAAGGATGTCTTTCCTTTTCGAACTTATTCAAACTGATAAACCCCACATGGAAAAATTGAAGTTCTTGGCAGACTATAAGAATCTTACACTGGCTGCCGGTACAGTCCGGAATATCTAGCTCGAGGGTAACTGTTTACGGCGGTAACGAGGCTCTGCCGAGTTTCCGCTAAACAGTTACCCGAGATTTTTTCTTGCATATAACATATCAATTATTTTCAGAACAGAAATTATGAAAACTGATATTCTCATTGCGCACTCTTTTCTTATAGTAGCGTATGTACTTACAACTTCATTCATAACGGTAAAATGACGTCATCCAAAGACGCAATTCATTCATAAAAGGCGCGCGTCAATGACGTCATATAAAGCACGCGACTTGTCTTACATGGGGGTGTAAGATAGAGTTTTCTAGCACTGGTGTAAACGGTAGATTATAAGAATCTTACACCGGCTGCCGGTACAGACCGGAATATCTAGCTCGAGGGTAAGTGTTTACAGCGGTAACGAGGCTCTGCCGAGTTTCCGCTAAACAGTTACCCGAGAGCTAGATATTCCAGTCTGTACCAACAGCCGGTGTTTGATTCTTTTTCTTGCATATTACATGTCAATTATTTTCGGAACAGAATTTATGAAAACTGATATTCTCATTACGCACTTTTTTCTTATAGTAGCGTATGAACATACAACTTCATTCATAACGGAAAAATGACGTCATCATAAGAACACGATTCATTCATAAAAGGCGCGCGTCAATGACGTCATTTACAGCACGAGACTTGTCTTACATGGGGGGTGTAAGACAGAGTTTTCTAGCACCGGTGTAAACGGTAGATAATCCTGTCTGGGATGCAAAAAAATCCTGTCTGATATGAAGGATTATCTAATCTTACGACATCGAGAAACAAAAGGAATGAAATATTTGTTAATGGGAATTTCTTATTGCATACTAATTTGATAAAGATGCAAAAGTCATAACACACATTTTCATGGTGAAGTTTTTGCGGGAACCCGGGCAATATTTCCATAATCTCTTCAGTCATGGTCTCCAATGTGCTATTTTTAAACAATCAATTGCGAAAGTTTGACTTCATACTCTTTTTCTTGTGGTGCGTTAAGCATATCGGGAGCCGCTGATCCATTGGCGTACTGCTGATGTCAGAAGACTTAGTTGGACGCTCTCAAGTTGCTGCAGTATCTGCAGCTTTGCCAATTTCGCACGTTGCTTTGGCTTGTTCAGACATAGGTTTGAACGTCTTCTTTTTCTGAAAGCAAACATTAATATCAAAAATAAACGGTGCTAAAAAAACCCAGAAAAATGTGGCGATTTTAAGGAGGAATAATGCGGTGCCCAAATCTTATGATTGACAAAGTTGTGCGGTGCCTTAAAATACACACGTGGAAACATAAAAATCATTCCAAATATACAAAAATGGGTTATTTATGTATTGTAACTTGTTCATACGACAATAATGTACATATTTATATTGTATTTTGACCAGTTATATGAACTGAACGGACTAGAAATACGTTATATTTCGTAATCAAAGCAAGATTTTTTTCAGTATGCCCTAAATGTTTTCACTATCCTGACTTAATTAATGAAGCATTTTGCATGTAGTAAAGATAAATAAGTATCAAATTAAATGGCACATTCGATGAAAAAGAAAAAATGATGATTTCACCTTGTTTTAAGCAAATTACCTGCTGTTTTCGTCTTGGTTACAGGCTTGCTGTCCATTTTGTACCACAGAAATATACGGTGTCTTGGACAGAAGTAAGATATTTCGACGTTGCGCGGAAAAGTTGTGGTAATCGCCCTCTCACCGTGTACTGCCGTGATCCGGAGTGAAAATTACCAACACCACCATCAATGGCTGAGCAGTTAAGAAACGGTATAGTGTAAAAAAGGCACTAAATGTCATATCGTTTTGTAGAGCGAAACTTGTCGTTTTCGTTTTTTATAATTAGCCAAATAAGATTTAGTGAAATATTAAACATGCATCAGTGTGGACTAAAACATTCAGTGGATATTCCTTTCCATTCAGTTTCCATTATACCGATTAGATGCCATATTGCTGAATATCCAACTAAAAAAGGACAAAAATACGTCTAAAATTGTAATTATTACTTTTATTTTACTCTAACTTAGATATTATATAGAGAATATTTGTTGTTTTGCATGTAAGATTGAAATATAATTTCACTGAGTGAACACCGGATGCAATATTTTCACGAACGGCGTAGCCACGAATGAAAATATAATAGCTGGTGTTCACGAATGAAATATATTTCAATCTTACATGCAAAACAACAAATATCCTCTACTTATTTCATGCTTTCCAGTGATTTATTTAATATATCAGATGATTATATTCCGATAAACCACTAGTGAAATTTATAAAATATAATTTTCACTGTAGCCGGACTATATCAGCCTGTCATTCCATTTAGTTTAATTTTTGTTTCACCCGCATTCAGATATAGTCCGGCTACAGTGAAAATTATATTTTATAAATTTCACTAGTGGTTTATCGGAATATAATCATCTGATATATTATAAAAAATCACTGGAAAGCATGAAATGAATAGAGGATATTTGTTGTTTTGCATGTTAGATTGAAATATAATTTCACTGAGAGAACACCGGATGCAATATTTTCACGAACGGCGTAGCCACGAGTGAAAATATAATAGCTGGTGTTCGCGAATGAAATATATATCAATCTTATATGTAAACAAATAAATTTTCTTTTTATTTCATGCTTTTTAAGTGATTTCAATTAAGTATCGTATTACCGATTTTGCCGCGTAACGTCGCGCATTCTCCTTTGTGACGTCACGTCATCAATTTTGAAATATAGTTCTGTTAAATTTCTCTAATTTTGTTACATTTTTTAAACATAATGTATGGTGACATCGACTTTCTTTTCATAAAGAAGCAAAATTTACGTATGACGGCACTTATTTCAGCCTTGTAATTCCATTTAGTTTAATTTTTGTTTCATCCGCATTCAGATATAGTCCGGCTACAGCGAAAACTATATTTTATAAATTTCACTAGTGGTTTATCGGCATATAATCATCTGATATATTACAATAAATCACTGGAAAGCATGAAATAATTCCTTTTTTTATCATTTTTTGGTAATCGGACATGAGCTAAAGGAGAAAATTACAAGTATAAGAAAAAAATACATCAATACAATTCTATAGGCCTATGGTATTGACAAACGTCGTGAGCTTTACAACCGGAAGTAACTATTCGAACGTTTCATATTCGATTGAATTAATTTATCGAAGACTATTTTATATCTTTAGAAATATTATTAAAGTTGCCTCTATATGATATCATAACAACTGATGGTTTTTCTAGCGGGGTTTTGCTGTATTTTCATTTATGATAATTCATAATAGCGACGATCACCAGGATCTCGTGCAACGTCTCTAGACATACATTTATGTAGTTAGTTTAATGCAGTAATATTAGACTTGTCTACACTTACTTTTGAAATTGATAAGTCACTGCATACTTCTGCATCTAAGGGTTTTATTTGATTATAATATGTTACAGTCTGTATCATAAGTCTTAAGATTAGTGTTTAATAAGGATACAGTAAAGAGTGAGTAAAGCAAAAAAGTTTATAAAACCTTTAATTGGAATATGACATGAAAAGGGTAATATAACATGTAAAGCTAGTTTAATATGAAAAAAATAGTAAAATGCATGAAATATGTCATGTAACATGTAAAAAAAGTAATGAAAAAAATAAATAATAAAACGCCAATAGGTCTGGAACATAAAAAGGTAATTTAAATTTAAAAGGCCCCCCCCCCCCCCCTGCCCAACGAGTTACATTTATGTCGTACACGTATAATCATTTACATTCATGAAATATCGCTTTGAATTTCCTCATAAATATTTGCTTATAGAAAGAATGACATGATCTTTATCAATCTAAATATGTATGCTGTTAAACGTTTTAATTGTTTGTTATCACATCACATATCATGCGAAACTGACAGTAATATGTCAGGGTAAGATTATCACTCTTATAAAAGTAAACAAGATTGCAAGCTCACACTTATCTACCCAGTTATAGAACAAAATATGGATACGAAAACATTTGAGCACGGTAAATAAATTGTTTATATTATTTTTCTTTCTCTTATTTGTACCTTCTCAAGAACGCTAGTCATTTGGATTTATGCTAAAATTTAGTACTCTGTTAGTCTGTCTCTTTACGCAAAAACAATTAACTGTATCTCTAAACGCTTATTTGCAACATTATAATCAAAGCACAGAAGGTACATCTGCAGCACCATGCGCACATCTGCAGCACCATACGTACATCTGCAACACCATACGTACGTCTCTGCAGCACAATACGTACATCTGCAGCACCATACGTACATTTGCAGCATCATGCGTACATCTGCAGCACCATACGTACATCTGCAGCACCATACGTACATTTGTAACATCATGTATACATCTGCAGTATTGTTGAATAGCTGCAGCACCATGCATTTATCTGCAGCACCATGCGTACATCTGGAGCATCATGTATATATGTGCAGCACCATGCGAACATCTGCAACACCATGCATAAATCTGCAGCACTATGCGTACACTTTCAGAACCATACGTACACTTTCAGTACCGTACGAACATCTTCAGCGCCATGAGTACATCTGCAGCACCATACTTACATCTGCAGCACCATTCTTAAATCTGCAGCACCATACGTATACATCTGCAGCACCATACTTACACCTGCAGTACCATACGTATACATCTGCAGCACTATGCATACATCTGTAGTACCATACTTACATCTGCAGCACCATACGTATATCTGCAGCACGAAACTTACATCTACAGTACCATACGTATATATCTGCAGTACCATACTTACATCTGCAGTACCATACGTATACATCTGCAGTACCATACTTACATCTGCAGCACCATACTTACATCTGCAGCACCATACTTACATCTGCAGTACCATACTTACATCTGCAGTACCATACGTATACATCTGCAGCACCATACGTACAACTGCAGTACCATACTTACATCTGCAGTACCATATACGTACATCTGCAGCACCATACGTACATCTGCAGTGCCATACGTATACATCTGCAGCACCATACGTACATCTGAAGTACCATATACGTACATCTGCAGCACCATACGAACATCTGCAGCACCTTATAAGTACATCTGCGGCACTATACGTACATCTGCAGTATAGCTTAAGTTGTGCCCCTAATAAATATGAATAAAACACAAAAGAAAAGCATACTTAGACTGATTAATTTTACACCACCAAAAAGTACAACATCAAGAACAAGAACAGCAACACGTTAATGCATTAAAATCTTCAATAAATTAAAAATACATTGGTAAATTTTTAAACATTGCTCATTTGCTTCAACCTCAACAGAAATTCTATGTCTTATTTAATAAGACATTTTATACTTTATATTTGCTATGTATCGGGTATTTGTCTCCTTTTCAAAAACATATATGAGTTATATACTACTTTATAGATTTTGAATGGGAGGGAAGACTTACAGATCAGATGAAGGAAAGTTTTACTGAAAATGGATTTTTCATCGTAAGGTGAGATAATGCAAAAACATCATTATTATTATTGTTATTATTATTTTTATTATTATTTATTGTTATTTTATTATTATTATCATTTTTAATTATTATTTATATTATTATTATTTTATTATTATTATTTCATTTTTATTTATTATTATTATTATTTATTATTATTATTATTATTTTATTATTATTGTTATTATTATTATTTATTATTATTATTATTATTATTATTGCAAAAGAAAGTGTGCACTTGGTTTCTGAGAAATTCTGCACATATTCCTGGAGCAAAATGTTGGCAAATTGGTGTCCTCAAAAGTTGTAGAAAAGTACACAGAAATTGGCTACACGATGGTATACATACTTTTCATTGAAATTTGTCAATGATCATAATTTTGTTAATTTGTATTAAGTAGCTGAAGGTTGAAAAGTAAAAGTTTTATGATAATTGTATTATGATAATTGTTTATTGGTTATTGTAAAATAGCTTTTTGTGTTGTTTTCCTTACAACTGATCAGTATCTGTTACAGGCACTTAGTCTTCGGAAGGTTACGTGCCATGCATGTAGACTCAATTAGAATGGTGTTCCATACAAATATATATAAATGTGTTTTGTATATATGCATCCAACGGTTGAAACGCTTTCATTGACAAAAATCCTATGTCTGCAGCTTTAATTTTTCATCCGTCTGCTGTAAACATGCACGTAAAAGAAAATGCTGATAATACAAATGTAATCAAATTTCAATAAATAATAAAAAAATAATGCGGTCAATAGAGTATTGCATTTTTTAATTTAGAATATGCCAATGTTTTGCTAAAATAAGTAAATACTATTTCTATTTCACTGTAACCAAGTGTTGCTCATCAGTATACATTTATTTGTTTTATTATTGTTCCCTCCAAAAAGACCCATTTCTCTAACCTACCCCTGAAACATCTCTTCACATGATAGTTTCTATGGGAGATACCTACATGTATATAGAGTCTACATAATTGTGAACTTAGGAGCAAACTTACACACTCTTTAGAAATAATAATAATACAAAATTAATATGGCATGCATTTTGTCAGTAAATATGAACAAATAAAGAAATTAAACGTCATATAAGTTATGCACACCGTCCAGAAATAACACGTGGTCTTTCTTTTGATTTTAGAAATTTTCTTGACGCTGAAGAAATAGAAAATGTATGGAAGGTTGTAAATGGACCAAATGGTATTCTAAAACATGGATATATGGTATGATTCTCATGCTCTGTTTTATCGGTCTATTTACTGTCACATTTTGGTTGCCTTTATCTGCGATGCCTGTTATTGTCGGAGTAGTGCATGAAAAAAGCAGTTTGCCCGTTCCAGAGGCGACACTTGTTCTTTTACATGCCTTATGTCAGTGTGTGTAGAACATCGATATATGTAACATCGGCTTTAAGGCCTCACAGTATGATTAGTGGTGGAGCAAAGGATCGAACCTTCGACCCTTCGATTTTCAGGCTTTTTTTCTCTTCTTTTAAACATTTTTATGAAAGGTCTATTGTACGATTGTAGCGTTATTTTTCATTGCACTAACATTCTTCAACGAAACATTCGCAAGAAATCAATTGTTGACGTTTAATTTTGCATGCACATTATATTACTATTATATAAATATTATATTATTATTATATAACAGACGTATGAAGAAAATGGCAGGAGAATACAAAGGACATTGTGTAATTACCCTGGCAATGACGTCACCGGAATACTTGCAAGATCTGATAAGGTGGCAGGCTCATGCGAAAAGGTAATCATTATCGAGGGACTTTGGATTCCTTCAAATGAGGAAACCATGAAGCTAGCTTACGGAAGGTCGGTGTTTTTATTCTAGTGCCCGCTCATACCTGAAATAATGCACGAGGGGCACCTGATGTATTCTCCCACCAGTAAGGCTGGAAAGTCGTATTATGCCCTTCACAGTGTTACTGTGACTTAACACTCCAGCAAATAAAATTATATATATATAAAAAAAAATAATAAAAAGAGGTAATTGCGTTGATATGACTTTCTGATATAACTGCCGATAATTTAGGTTGGTGATTATTCAAAAATGTAAATAATAACATCACGTCTCATTGAGTCTCAGAATTTAAAGGAACTCCAGTGAGGTCCTAAAGCTTTAAAATATAAAGTTTGAATTTGCTACATAGACCAGCTGGGGCACTTAAAATAGAAAGATTTGCAAAAGGTAATTAAGGTATATAATAAGATTAAATTGAAAATCGTATTATTACGCTTATTGTCGTCACCACCACTATCATCACCACCCTGATTGTCATCATCGTCATCATTTTATCATCGTCGTCATTATCATCAATATCATCAGAATCGTCATCATCATTCTATATACAAATGTATATATTTTTTCTTGTGAATTTTTGTTATATTTTTTAGTTACTAGGGAGCGAAGTTTATCACTGGTGTTCCATGTTTGTGAACAAAGAAGCTAATCTTGGTGGGGAACATGTATGGCACCAAGACTATGGGTATGTAAATAAATAAATAAATAAATAAATAAATAAATAAATAAATAAATAAATAAATAAATAAATAAATAAATAAATAAATAAATAAATAAATAAGTAAATAAGTTCTGTATATTTTCAAATATAAGCAAATTGTACTGTGTGTAGGGGCCGCCGTGGCCAAGCGGTAATGGCCACCGACTTCAAAAGTTCAAATCACTTGCCCTCACCGCTGTTGGTTCGAATCCCGTAAAAGACTTGGGATTCTTTCATGTGAGGAAGCTATCCAGCTAGCTAACGGAAGCTCGGTGGTTTTCTAGAGGTTCAGTAAAACTGGAATTCACAGTATGACCATTACAAAGAGGTGTGACTTAACAAAAAATAAACAAATAGTAATATGAATAACGGAACTACTTTTATACATGTAGATACTGGTACAACGACGGCGTACTGTATCCGGAAATGGTTACTGTATGGATGCCCCTCGATAAATGTAGACGAGAAAACAGTTGTAAACAGGTAGTTTTTGTATTATTTTACATCGCTAGAGGTTCTTTTATGTACTAATCTACCTCACAGGGAGGTAAATAATTTGAAATATTCGTTAAGTAAGCAGCAAAAATGTGAAAAATTACGATTGTATAGGGGATAGTGTGTTACGTAAGCATAGAATAATATTAAAGATTGTTATCCAATATGGCGTCCTATATAGCCCATTTTTGTAATCGACATTTAAAAAGGATAAAGTCTTGTTAAGTCGAACATGTCTGATATCTATCATTTTTTATTCTGACTTTCAGTTTAAACTTTACTTATTTAACTCGATTATAAAAATGCTTTTTTTAAAAGGTTTAATGCCCCTTTGGGGAAACGCCTTTAAGATCCGACCTAAAATTAAAATAGAAACATTTTCGGGACATAATTGGGAAATTTAAAAATTTCGGGGCAAAAATTAAATTTAAAAAATGAGTTTTTGTGATATTTAAAAATTTGGTTTAATAAAACTTGTTGTAATACATCAAATCCCGAAATTTTTACAGAATTTTTGCAATAAAAGGGATATTTTAAGTAGTTTTTTTTTTGAAGTTTAGGGAAAAATTTTATTAAAAAAAACCAACGGGGGGCCCTCCGGCCCCCCACTAAAAAAAGGGAAAATTTAAATTAAATTGGGGCCCAAATTTTAATGCCAAAAAAATCAACAAACTTCTCAAAAAAATTATTTTAAAAAATTTTTTCCCTTTTAGATGGGGAATTAATTGGTTTTGGTAAAAAGGAAATTGGGTTTAAAAGGCAAATTTTTTGGAAAATAAAATACCAAATTCAATTGGTTCGGAAAAAGGGTTTTAAAAAATTTTTTTTAAAATTTTAGGGCTTTTTTTTAAATAAATTCCCTAAAGAAAAAACATTGGTAAATTCAATTTGGAATTTTACTTATTTAAAAGAAAAAACTCTTTTTAAAAAATTCTTGTTTTTAAACCAATTTTAATTCACCTTCGGGGTTTTGTTAAATTTTAACGGGCCCTCGAGGTGGGGTAAATGGTTTTTTTAAAAAATTTGTGAAACTTAAAAAAAATATTTTGTTGCAAATTAAAATTAAAAAAGGGGTAGTAGTCCTGGATCACCATAAAATTTCGATGGAAAATGGGGGAAAACCCCTTTTAAATCATTTTGAAAAAAAAAAATATATAAAAATGGTTGGTTACCCCTATATAACAAGATTATTTTTATGTGTCAGGAATTTCATTCTCCTAAAACAAACACCTCTTAAGCATGAAAACTCAATTTTAAGGTGTAATTAGGGACCATTTCTAATAATGTAAGTCTATGGAAAAATCAATACGAGGGTCTGACCTGAACGAGTGTTCAGACATTCTGTCTAGATTTTAATTGATTTGCAAACTATAGTTCTATTTTAAATTTTTATGTTTTTTGACGTTGCATACATTTTCATTAGCGATGTCATATCCATGGACCAAATATTTAAGAATATTGCTTATTATGTCATTTAAATATAAATTATATAGTTTGAAAATAAGATGCAAAGAGATGATATATCATATCAAATTTAGGATTTGATATGTCACCAAAACATATTAAATAAATAGCTGACAGAACAGAACAAATATATTATTATAATAATTTTCAATATAAAAAAGTTTGGGTTTTGTAGTCAAATTTTTTGATAATTAAAAAAAATCATAAAAAAAATTTAAAAAAATTTCATTCAAACGTTTAAAAGTCAAATAAAAAAATTTAAAAATTTTTTCCATTCAAGGGTTTTAAGTCATCAAATAAAATTGGGTTTGAATTAAACAAGGGAAGTTTCAATGGGCGATGGGGGCGGGCCCTGAAAGGGGGGAAAGGAAAAATAAGATCTGTGAAACCCTATTTTCCCGGAAATGGGTCCGGGAAGAATACAAAATCCTTACATGTGAAAGTTCCCGTAAACGACCCGCCCCTTCACTATTAACCCTTTTACTAAAAATTTTGCTTAGTTTTGGGTTTTTAAAAGAAATTTTTTTTAGTTCAATTTTGTAGGGTAAAAGGTTAAAGACAATTTCGAACCTTTCCTTCCCGAAACCCTTTTGGGGCAAATGAGTAAAAAAAAGTTTTTTCTCAAAGGACTAGCCCCCAAAATGGGTTTGAACCATTGCCTAGGATGCATAAGAATACTAGTGCCGACGCTTTTAACAGCATCTGGCCAGAGCCATAGCTTTCAAAAAAAGCTAACGTAACAATGCAAATACATAGCAAAGCAAAGGTAAATGTATAGGATAGGCAAAGAGAAGCAATTTTGGAACGTACAAAAGTCATAATGAAATAAAGAAAAGTTTTTTGCGAGCATATAAAGCAAGAAGCACGAAAGCCAAGCCAAGCAAAGAAAAAATAAAGCGTAGCAAAGCATTAACAAGAATACATAGCATGGCAAACAAGGGTATAATTTCAAACGAAGCAAAACAATTGAAGTAAAAGCATAGCAATAAGGGCAAGATGCCCAAATACAATATAAGTAATAAAGCAAGCAATTATAATAGACAGCAAAGCACAAAATAATATAAAAGCAAATAAATTGATGTAAAATATTAGGTCAAATACATTAAATGCATAAAAAAAGACAAAGTAAAGCATAGCATAGCAAAGCACAGAGTAGTATAGCAAAATCACAACGCAACTCACCAAAGTAAAAATTGTAGTAAAAGATATCAAAATCATGCAAATCAAAGTAAAGTACAGCATATAACACATAATATTATCTTCATTTGGCATAACATAGCATTTTCATATACAAATTTATTTCGCCGAAGCTTTTTTTTGTTTACTTAATTGAATCGGAATCAATGGATATTTCAAGGTTCATGAAGGTCAAAGCAATTATTAATTAAAAGCAGCAACCTCTAGATTCATGCTAATTTTCAAAAAAAATTGAAAATGTATTTAAAAGTAAAATTTGTGAATGAAAAAAAAGTATTATTTACATTCAAACGGCCACTTAAAATCCACGTAATTACCAAAAAAGAAGATCAAAATATACATACAATAACCCTTTTACGGTTGTAATGCAGTAAAATATAATGTTGATACTGCAAAATCGGCCATTTATAAGGCTCATAAAATTTAAATAATAATTTGAATTTGAATCTTTTTACCTTTTTCTTTAAGATCTTCATTTTTTTCTGTTCTAAAAATATTTGGCCCTCAATTTGGAGGCATGCCAGAGTCAAGCTCAGACCAGTGTGAAATATTTATACTGTTCTTTCTAATTTTTCATAAATTCTATAAGAAACGTTGATTTTGTATCTTTAGTAACATATATTGATTTACTTAAAGTTATGTTTTACGTAAAAGAGTTCAACATTGCCCCATGTCAGGCTCTTATTCTAATTCCATGCAATTGACAGAAATGGAAGACCAAAGGTTGTAAAAAAGACGATGATACAATGTAGATTTTGGCCCCCCCCCCCGTCATATTACTTTTTAATAGGGGGTAATATCTAAATTTTTGGATCAACCGCGTCAATTTAGGTCAATTTATTTTTTTTTTGAACATTCCAAACAACTTACAGAAATAACCCACGCGGAAGAATTGCGACCCTCCTCTATTTAAAGGGCCCCAAACCCATGTGAGAAAGTGGCCCCTTTATAGTAATTTATTATCCCTTCTCTACAAAAAGCTAATGATTAAAGTTGGAAGAAAAATTCATAAGGTAAAAAGTTTAAAAGTACATGTAACATAAGAACTTATGTAATGTTACGGATTCCTATTAAATGAAACTTAGTCCCTTGCCTAGGGGCAGAAGACATGCAAATATGACTTAGTGTCATTTAGTCTCTCGAAAATACTATTCATTTAAAATTTAAAAGAAGTAAACATGTACAGTCAGAACTACAAATTTGTTTTACTTAATAACCCAAGGACTTTAGTCACAATTTTTTAATATTAAAGTGAAGATCATAAGTTTCAAATCCGACTTTAAAACTTAGAAACATACAAATCTCAATTTCAAGTTTAATCAGTCTGATCTTTTAAAAATAACTTCCGAAGTGCATTGATTATAACAGATGAGTTTTTTTTCTCTGCTGGTTTGATTTTGTTTGTTGAATTCCTTAAGCACGAAAATAATTTTTTCTTCTTGTCGTTAAAAAGTAGAAATACTGCTAATGGAATATATGAACAACAAAAAATATTTATTTTACTTTTGTAGTTAAAGGGTATAAATCTATATCTTATGAAATATTTTTATAAAATTTATCAACAGTAAAATTATGTTTCATTATTACATGGTTGATTCCCAAAAAAGTTGTAACATAGAATGTCTCTGTTAATTAACACATTGGAATAATGTACGTAAACAGAATAAAATGTTCCGGAACAAAATATTATTTTCTATTTTAAGTAGGGTTTTATCCGTTTAGCAATGATTTTGAGCATGCACCATTAGTTTTAGGGCAATTTACACCATATTTATTTCATACAAGCATTTTGACAGTATTCTTTTTTAAAATCCAAACAATAATTTTTGTATAAGATATATAGCTTTATACACTCAGTTGATTATAAATTGAAAAAAAGATGGGGTTAGCACTTCACAGGAGAGGGGAGAGGTACTTATTATATCTTAATTTAATTCGGTATTTTTATGTGTTCGGTGGCCTTGTGGTAAAGATTGACTGAGATGTCTGCCTCTAAAATCATGGGTTACTGGTTCAAGCCCTACTTGTCAAAGGGCCATTTTTCTTCATATGACACTAATACTAGTAAGATTAAATTTGAGGGACATTTAATTGAGCTTCATGCTTTTATCATACTCTTTATATAGTTTATATAAATGTGTTTTAACTAAGTCAGTATTTTATACTTAAGGATTCATTTTTCTTCTTGAATATTGCTCGAAGTTTATATTTCACAGGATTCAAAGGCGCAAGTGGAGGCACATTATTTTTCAATTCGAATCATTTTTGTAAAGAATCTGGGTCATATAACAATCCATAGAATAATGACTGGGTCAATATATTACTAAATTCTGTGAATGACATTTGGCAGGAGTCAGTATCAAAAAGGTCATCTTTTTGTAAATAATGACCGGGTAATCCGTATTCTATTTCATTGCACCAGGAACGATTCACATACGGTCATTAGCATTAGGGCTTTTTTCCTATGTAGTGAAATGGGCCTTTCACTTAGACCTACATATATTTTAATATAAAACTACAACATAAGTAATTTCGTTATCAGTAATTTGATCTTTTTTTCTAGGAGATGCATTTTTCCATCACGGAAATACATTGCACCGCAGTGAAGAAAACAAGAGTAACAATGGCAGAATGGGATTTATGTCGTGCTTCAATGCTGCTTATAATTCGCCCGTCTTCAAAACTGATTACCCTTCTTATAACAAACTGGAAAAGGTAAAGCCAACATCTATCGTTTGAAGGCACACTTCAATAATTTCACTTTTGTCAATTTTGTAAGCATGTTTATTACCTCGATTGTGTTAAACAAGTTCTTTCAACTGATATTAATCACTTCCGAGTCCGCTTTAAACTAACCAATATTTGTGTCATATGAGATATGACAAGGTCGTGACTCGAAATGGGCCCAAAGCAACGATCGCTGGGGTGAGTGCCAGATACTTAAACCACTAGACCACTTGTTTCGAATTTATTTTGTAAACATATGTTGAAAATTGAGTCTTTGAAAAACCCATGTGTAAATCTTGGATTGATGACTTATAGGCATAAATTTGCCACGAAAATCCCCCCGTCAAAGTAAACAAATTTCTGTGTACAAACAGCCGAAAACAAACAGCATGTGGCATATGTCACTTAATGATTTATTTTTCAAGTGAATATACTTCTTACAAAATTGTATCTTTAAGTGAACACAGGTTTAAAAGACCAAATTTCAAAAGACATACATATAAATTTGTTTATAAATGCAGACTTAATTTTAGTTTGGTTGTGTAGGTCAAGCTATCAGCTTATAGACACACTTTCGAATCTGTTCCTGCAACCAACCAGTACTAAGCAATTTTTGAAATTTTAATGTTCAAGGAAACAACAGCTTGGCAAGTTGCCTCTGACTAGGATTGAAACCAAACGACCAGCATTCCTTAGATTACTAGTCCGATGCATTTTCCGCTCGGCCGCGACGCCACAAAATGTTAATACATGTAGTTGACTAAACTATGAGAAATTACCATGTGGGTGAAACCTTATATTGATCGCCGAAATATACAGTCGAACCAGTACTTATGATCATCTTTTTTATGCGGTCACCTGGTCTGAACGACCAGTTTGTTTGTACGCTCAGGATAGCAATCAATCTTTTTACATACAATATATTTGTGTACATCATAAGGGTTTTCGGTAGTACATAATAAATATGAAGGTAAAACACAAAAGGACTATACCATTGTACATATATTTTTGGAAAAAATGAATGGTGAGTTTTCCCGAACATGTTAACATGTACTAGTATATATTTGTCTATGATTACCAGGTTCGCAATGAAGCCATAAAACAGTGTACCAACTACACGGATTTCAGTGGTAAGGGCTTTAGAATTAGGAGCGTCAACAATTTGAAGAGGAAGTTATCCGAGAGCGATGTGTCGTCTGCTAGCGATGTGTCGTCTGCTGCCAGCAATGGGAATTAGCCGTTGCCTTCTTAGATACAACCTCATAAAATTGGATATATCTAAACGTCTTCTCGAGAAAAGTGAAACTGATCATTGTTATTAAAGGATATTGAATTTATATGTACTAGTTATTATTCCTTATCAGTATTACCTCCCTTGAACTTAAAATTTTCATGAAAAAAAAAAGTTGTCTTTTTTAAATAACTTCTTTATTTCCTAATGTATCTACTTCAAACTTCATATATATGTTTCTTATTATCACTCAACATTTTTGAGAAGGTTAAATACTCTAGCAAGACTATTTCCAGAATTATGTCCCCCTTGAACTTAGATTTTTTTCGAGAAATTGGTATTTTTTACTCCAACTTCTTCATTCCTCATAGGATTTACTTTAAAATCCCACATCGTAATAATATGACAAGGTTGGTTAAACATAATTTCCTTTCTAGGCAGGGAAACTTAACACATTACTGTGATATAGACAAACTTAGAACTCAAAAGATTTAAGTTCATTCATGTCATTCAATCACTGGTAAAATTGAATGGCCAATGGCCCATCAGAATGATGCTGGGGTTCTAACCGGTAGGGGACTTATGGATTGCTTGCAATACTATGATAATTGCTTGTTGATAATATATTATAAGGCGCCTATTTCATTAATTATCCATATGCGTATTATTCAATTTATTTGTATATGAGTATACGAGTATAACATTATATCTACGAGATTTGAATACAAAATTCATGCGCCGCATCGGCATACTACATATACTTGTCTGTACAACTGAAAAAAATAGTAAATATGAAGAATTAACAAGTTAGAAAAATCTGAAAGCTGTTTGAAAGTCACGGTGAGGATTTAAAGAAATAAACAAAGTCCACGATTTTCAAGACATCATAACCCAAGCCATTACAAAAGTAACTTCAAGATTTAGAGCTTACTATTTCAGATTATGCTAATTGCAAGTATGGTTCAATTATGTATAATTTTGGGAAACTTTTTTTTTATAATTTGTAAATCAGACCTGATCTGTCCTTTTTACGAGTGATCTGAAAAACATTCACTACATACAGAAGGAATTGAACCTTCAAATGGCCCAGCATTCAACTAAAATGTAAGTTTCCGTGAACATGTGGTTCAGAAGAAAGTACCATCTATTATAATTACATTGTATATTTTGAATGAACGTATATTAACTTTCCTCTACTAATTGATATACAAGTACCTCACAAAATGTTTAACCAACTTAAGTTTGACTTATAAATTTGATGCCTTCGGATTTATTTGTGAACTGCGTTTAAAAGATAAGAAGATAACATCAAATACATATAAAATACACATAGCTTTTATACAGTTTATTGATAATGAACAGTGTTGTTATAAAATCATATATTTCTCGCTTGTAAGAAGGTAATTCTGCAAACATGTCAGTCATGGTAGAGTTGAGAGCTGATTAATACCTTCTATACAAATTCATTGACTTTTAATCTAATTCTTGTAAAATATCGAAGTGCATGGAGCAAAACGAAACATAGAAAGAATACAATATACAGCTTGTCCTATCCTTAAAAGAACCTGTATTTGTAATTAAGGTTGTTACAACACTTAAGTGAAATTTTATATATGTAACACTTAAGTGAAATTTTATATATGTATATAATTATGCTTTTAAAACAATTTTCAAACATCGAAGAATATGTAAAATATGTACTGCAAATATTTGTCTACATTAATATATGTCATCATTAAAATATATGCATTCATTTCTTACTGAAAAATTTGAGTTGGGCTTTATAGAAAATAAATTTCTAATCACTTTCCTTCATTGACATGAAATGTTAATTCGGTAATATCTTTACAAATAATGCTTTTTGAAACTTACACTATTGATAAATCTTCATTTGAGCATATATAAAACCATAAAAATTGAGTAACAGGATCTTTAAATTAACCCTTAATTTTCAAAGACATGCCTACAAATTTACTATCACAATTGTAACTCCATACATAATTTACAGTCATTTACTCACACATATATTTAGAAATTAATATAAATTTTGAAGAAGTCTGCTAGCCAATGATACTTGCAAGTATGTCACCTCTAGCCCGTGTAAGCTATAGTATGTGATCTATATAAGCCTATGGAAACTAAATTACCAATACCATTTATATTACATTTCAATTACATAATATTACATTTGTGTGGGCATATTTCATAATAAAGTGAAGTGTTCTTCTGTTCAACGCACATTATGCATATTATATTAAACATCCTTTAGACGGAATCGAATAAATAATTTATCGAGGCTATTTTGCTGGCCCATGTACAAAAATGTTATTGTCTTGGAAGTGACTTGCTTAACATCTATTTAAAGACAATATAATAACCAAGACGATTTCATTCTGCATAACACACATAAAGTTCCATGTCAGGTCTTTCTTAATCTACCCAAAGTTTTATCTACCTGCCGATCTTGCATGCCCTCACACATATTTTTTACCGGCACTTCGTGCCTTGTTGTTTGCACTATTCAGGTACGCCATAGCTATTGCATGGTACGTGCATGGGTTACCGCTCTATTAGTTCGAGGTAAGTTTGTCTGTGTTTGTTAAATATGCTAACAAGAAACGCAAGTAGCACAGTATATAAACAAGTCTATACTTCCTGTTATCGCAAGAAAGATTTAAATTTAGATATATGAATATAATTAGGCTCCAAGGTCGGAAGTAACACGTGCATGTAATAGCACACGTTGAACTGTATAGGCTCGCAATACAGAGTACAGTGATTTTGTCCATATACTGTGAGTAGAGTCACAGAGCTATATTGCAACATAAGTCTCTAACTGTAAGACCAAAAATTAAATTAGATTTGTACATAGTGCTTGGATGCTTCCATATTTTGCTGACTTGTGACAAATAATGAAACATAGCTTAAATAAACACTTTTGGGGTTACACATGACGGAAGTCCAAATATGCTGATTTTTGCTAAATAAGGGGCCACAACTTTGCCAGTCTGCAATAAATTTGCGACAAAATACCACGGTGCATATATTCCTATGATGACAAATATTTTTAGATGTTTCCATTCTCATAGTGATTACCTCGCTGCAGATCTCTGTACTGATAAGGGGAGATCACTGCGTAGGAGATTGGGACCTAACACTTATGTTTTGGAACTATTTTGTTTTGAATAACCAGGGGCTAAACTCTGCTGATCTAACATAAATTTGTGTCATTTTTTTTTTAATTTTCTTATGTTAATTAAGGCGAAAGTTAAAAGGACGAAAGGAATTAGTCACGTGATTCAGTTCTCTGACGTCACTTCCACTGACACCGGCTAAACTGGGGTACTGGGGAAGCACGATATTTTGTCGAAAATGTCGATGTTCCGCAATTCAATTGTACGATTGGTAACAAGCCAGCAGGTAATTTGTCCAAATTATATTATTTTAGACTGGCATTCTTATAATTGTCATAATAAAACACGTAGTATTTAAACCTGTGCAAAGGCCAAGGACGGTCCTGTGAAAATGGGTGGGTGGGGATAAGGAACGTTATTTTGATTGGGACGTTTGCCTGTTTGTTATGTCAGTTAAATGCCATGGTTTGATAAGCTGTCTTTTATCATGCAGATATTTTAATTGATAGTAAATAAACATGTTCAATTGTATGGAAATGCAATGTTTTATCCATGAAATAAAGCAAGGTCACCATGACAATTGAATACGTTGAAGATGGTAATGTATTTTAACATAACTTTGACATAATTATACTGCTGCTAATACAACAACTGTTGTGATTTATGTTAGTGCTAGAACACAGTCATCAAACTATTCACTTCTATCTATCTATCTTTGTGTATTCTTATCAGAATTGGAGTAGATCTACTTAAAATATGATTGAATGACATATGAAATAATAAATTATTGTAAAGGGTCAACTAAGCTGTATACCAACTTGGCCCTCTGTAAAAAATCTTAAAGAATATAGATTGTTTAGTTAATAAACTTCTTAAGGAGTAAATGACAGTACATTTGTTCAGAGTTATGATCACTGACAAACAGAAATTTTGGTTCTGGATAATTATTATTATGCACACACATTCAACGATCATGTACCTGTTACCAAATAACTTTTTCAGTGTTTGTGCATATGTGTCAAACTGAACCAAAGCAAAAATCTGCACTGAATGTGTATCTGATACATTTATAAGTCATGTAGATCTACAAAGTAACATACCAAACATATCTGATTATCCAGTTTACATACAAAAAAATAAACATCATGATATTTTATCCCAATTTGATCAAATATGCTTTTTATGTCTCTTGTATTTCAGGAAGATAAAACTTGATGTTATGATTCATGTCTATACGCTATTATTTTTTGTTTACAGGGTTTGACAAGCACCTGCAAATATGCTACAGCTTCAAGCACAGTGAGTATTAATCCGGATTTCTTTCTTTTAGGGCATCATGTATCTAATAAAATTTGGCAATGTCACTTTTGTCAGAGTTCCAGATAAGCTGCGGACTAATATTACTAATTTAGCATAAATATAAAACTAAAATCATCCCAATACTCAAATAAATTACAACGCCAATAACAACTGACTTTTTAAATTATATATATAAATTTTCCATAAATTTCATTATTTACGGCGTATACATGTGTTTAACTTCCTGAATCCACTAAAAGGCCAGAAATATTTAGACATTTTTGAAAACAAAACTTCTAGTTTAAACTGAACTTTTCAACATTTTAGCTAATTTTTACATTCTGCATGTGCTTTCCATTTCATATTTACAGTGTAGGTAATCGTAAAAGATCAATACAGTTTCTGGTAATCATTTGTCTTGTCAGTTTATATAAAGGATACTTGTTTGTTTGTGTTAGAACCAAGATAAATTTACATCTTACACAAAAATAAACATTTATTTTATGCTTAAATACAAGTTTAAATGACATTTCTTCAATATTAACTTGAATATTAAAATCTGTTTTCGTCACTGGTAGCCTCGGATTTCAGGCAAATTTCTCGTAAGGACTTGAAGGCAAGAGCTAAAAAAAATAAAGTTCAAAAATCAATGTTAGAAGGCGAATGATGTCATTTATTTGAAACAAAAATCATGAATGATTGTTTTCTAAAATACATGAAACAAACAATTAAAGAAGATGAAAATGTTACACCATGCTGTTAAACAACTAGTCTTTATCCATGAAACCGGGCAGAGGTATAAATTCAAGATATCCCAAATGACCGTCAGACTGCACATTTTTCTCATCCTGTGTCATTATACATTCTAGAAGTATCTAGGAATTTGGTTAACATTCAATTTTTCGAAAGGCTGTCTTGTGAACGCAGTGTTATTTACTTATCTTTCAGACTTCCTGTGTGTATGCATGTATTACCCAATTAAATTTTGAAACATGAAGTAAAATTGCATTTATACTTGGTTGAAAATTTGAAATGCCCAAATAATTTTGATAGGGACATAAATTATATAATTACCCATTTACCTGTAAAAGCTTATCTGGAGCTTTGAATGGTACATTGTATTTCACGGTGGAGTGCTTTTATAATGCATGTCTATGAAAAGAAAAGTACAGTACATAAAAAACACATTTACTCTACTTGAAATTCATACTTTAATGAAATATTAATTAAAGGTAAGAGTACACTTAAATGAATTATGTAATTAGATTCGATTTTACTATTTTCCAAACAGACCTGATTTTTAGCATGTCTGCTCTTTTTTACAGGCGCAATGTAAATATTTTTTTGAATGATTACAAAGTTTTCTTGTTTACTTATCTAGAACTTAAAGTCAGTGCTAGCTAATCAGATCCCAGAAAAACAAGAGGAAGTGAAACAGTTTAGGAAAGACTATGGATCAACAAAAGTTGGAGATGTTACTGTGGACATGGTAAGTTCATTTAATTTGTCTATTATTTTGCTGACTTTGAAATGTTCAAAAAAACATCATACAATAGTGAAGGCTCACTGCTGCCTTGCATATTTGAAGTAGAAGGCCATTATTCATTGTTATTCTGGCAGGCAGGATTGTCATTAGGAGGCCAAAATTACTGCCTCTCAGAAATACATGGCAACCTCAAAACTTGAAAAACACCCTTTGTTGTATGTTATAAAACAAAAATGACTGCCTCAAATTCAAAACAAAAGGCTCAGAAGAAATTTAATGACAACTATTGACTGGAGACTGAGAAATAAGTTTCAGTCATTTAGGAAAGGTAATATTTTACAATTTTTACTGTAAAGGCGCTCGTAAAGTTATGCAAGCTTGGTTTAGTTTAAATGTATTAATTTTAGCTTAATTGTGAAACATATTTCTTGCATCTTATATTAGTCACTTTATAGAACTATCCAGTACTTGTGTCTGATGAAGAAACATGGACACAGCCCGAGAAGGATTGGATCAAATGATCCCTCACCTTAGAAATACATGTAGACTCCTTAAAAGCTAGGCTACTGTTTCCATTGGGCAGAGCTCACACATGCTTAGTATTGCTCTATGACAATTTGTGAGAATTTTGGTCTAACATAACCTATATTTTCAACCGCCAACATGCCGAGGGGTTAGAGTCAAAATCCAGTTACCTCTCTGCCGTGGGTTCAATCCCCTGGAGATGCTTTGGTAGTTTAGCCCGGAGGAATGTAGTCTAGTACTGGTGTAACTCTCCAGGAACGATGGCAGGGCTCTCGATTGACACGGGGATCTGGGTTTTGACTCGTGAAAATCAGGAATTGCACAAATTTGACACGTGATAAAATCTGCTCAAGAGTCAATTTGCCACATGGGATTTTCAGCTATGCAATAATAATTACCTTAAATCCACCCCTATTAAATTACCTATCAAATCCTACATATGTTTAAATCACACTCATTAAAAATGTCAACAGGCAGTATAAGCTGTGTATAAAATGCTTTACACACAGCAATTGTTTATAGACTGTGCACTGAAGCGCGACAATTCAGTGGCTGCAATTTGACAGCGCTAAAAATAGCTCTACACAACTGATAAGAATTACATACTTGAGGTGTATAATACCTCTTTGAATTTACTTGGAGTACCTGTGCATTTGTTATTTCTTTTTCCATTAAATATTCCTAGTACATTTTGGTATTTAAAATTAATATGATATAACATACCAGTAAAGATAATTTTTTTTATATTTTATACATTTAATTAGAAAAGCAGCTGCTTATTTTATTCTTTTATTCTGTCAATGTAGACTTTGGAATCTACACAAAATGACCTCCAATACAGTCATTTTTGTAACATAAAAATAATTCATGTAGTCAAATGACACTAGAAAAAAATGATTTGACTCATGAAAATTTTGGCCAAAGAGTCTTTGACTCGTGAAATTCTGACCCTACTGAGAGCCCTGAACGATGGTTAGGAAACTACCCGCCTGTATGACTGAAATACTGTTGGGGAGAAGGCGTAAAATGAAACAAACAAATAAACAAAACCTATATTTACATTTATGAATCAATATTACAACTGCATACAAAGATGGTTTTTTTCTCCCCAGATGTATGGTGGTATGAGAGGTATTAAAGGTTTAGTCACAGAAACTTCAGTTCTCGATCCTAATGAGGGTATTCGTTTCCGTGGTTACAGCATTCCCGAGTGTCAAGATAAACTCCCAAGAGGTGTGTATGTAATAAGCATAATTTTGTTTTTAAAAAGGGTTTTAGTAGTAAGTTTGCTCCGTATTACCATAAAAAGTATTACATATTCTGCTAATCTTGTGAATGTGTAACATTGATAACATTTAGAATTATAATTTTGTTGATTAAGTAGAAGCCCTCTTAGCAACTGGCTAAATAGAACCAGGCTTTGAGAAAAACCTCATTTCAAAATGTTATAATTATTTTTATGCTAATAGATCGATTGATCAAGATGTCATATTTTTTGTGTCTGTCCGTTTGATTGTGAGCTGGTTTGTCAGTAAACTAACCTTGACCATAATGCTTTAGTCTTCCAATCTTCTGCTTCCGAATTTGACAGGTGAGCTCTACCCACTAAACCCACTTAAAGGTCAAAGGTCAAGGTCACTCTGCTCCTTTGGGACATGGAATGAATCAATTCAGTACATAAAAAATGTATTTTTAAGTATCTGAAAAATGACATTTATATATTTTTTGTTCCTCTATTAAACTTGCAGGCAATGGAGGTACAGGAGAGCAACCCTTGCCAGAGGCTTTGTTTTGGCTTTTGTGCACAGGAGAAGTTCCCACCCAGCAGCAAGCAGACGCCCTTTCCAAGGAATGGAATGACAGAGCAGCTATCCCAAACCATGTCACACAAATGTTGAACAACTTCCCGAGCAATCTCCACCCGATGTCACAGTTCAGCTGTGCTATCACGGCACTTAACAGCGAGAGCAAATTTGCCAAGGCATATCAGAGTGGTGTGAAGAAGACACAATACTGGGAGGTAATTATTTAATTGTACAAGTGTTTTTTCTGTACATTATTTTGAAGCAAGATGGTCTGTGTGTTACAAGGTAGAAATTATGGGCGTAATTGTACTAAAGGGGTGTTGATGTACTCCTAATGTATTGCTTAGAGTGAAGAGTTGCCTTATACACATGGTTTAAGACGAAAGACCTTTGGCATATGCGGCTGAGTAGTTAAGAACGTTGAGTTAAAACCACTTGCCTCTGGCTGCTATGTGTTTGAATCCCGCAAGGCAAGGGACTTTGGATTCTTTCATCTGAAAAAGCTATCCAGGTAGCTAACAGAATGTCAGTGGTTGTACACTGGTGCCTGTTTATGCCTGTAATAATGCATCATGGGGCACCAGGAGTCACAATATGACATCTTTGCGTTGGTGTGACATAAATTCCAACCAAAAAAATGATATGAAAGACCTTTAGTGGTTTGCTTGAATACAATTTTTGGTTGAGAGGTTGGAAGATACTTGTGGAGAAAAAATGTTTAATTCTGGTAAAGAAACTATTTCATATATAAAGTCTATTTATGACTCTTGTTATGATATAATTGACCAAGAATATGTACATTTAAGTTTGTTTATATTTCTAGTATGCTTATGAAGATTCCATGGACATGATTGCTAAGCTGCCAACAGTAGCCGCCATAATATACCGTAACTTGTACAGGGAAGGTACTTGTGTTGGTGCTATTGACCCAAAGAAGGACTGGAGTTGGAACTTTGCCACTATGCTGGGATATGATAATCCTGATTTTGTGGAACTTATGAGATTATACCTTACAATTCATAGGTAAATATTGATGTGATAGTTACATTCAACATTAGACTGTTTGCAACAATTAAATTTATAAATCCGACCAGTGCAGAACAAATTGCTTTCTGGTTATGGTGTAAAGTGCTTGTTATTAAGGCAGTACATATTTTGAAATTTTCCCAAGCTAGTGATTAATGGCTTAGTCCAGATTGACATCGCTTGTTTTCCATAAAACCATTACCTATTTCTTTTTATCACATACTTGTGCCACTTTTGCGACTCTGTAAAAAATGGTATTGCACAGCTGTGCAAATATTTTGACGTGACATCAATTGTGTTATACAAACATAGCGTAAAGATGCTTTAAATGTTAACTTTACAACGAAAATGATTCTTTTTGACATAAACAGTCTTTATTTGGGTATGTTATAAATAGGATATTATATTCATGTAGATTCATTACTAAATTTATTAAACTTGTTGGAATAAAATAATATTAAGCTCCCCAGAGGCTCACATATTATAATTTTATTCAACTCATTCAATAATTTCTGTATTGAACCTTCACTCTAGCCTGGGATTCAGGCGTTGATATTTTTTGCTTATTCATAACATACGCGCATCATACTTGATCGTCATAGATAACACAACATCTCTGGTTTTGATAGTACTGTGGGGTTTCCCATGTAATTATCGACTAATGATTATCCTATTAATACACCAATTAGCACGTGACCAACAAATTACATGACTAAATCGAAATCGAGGCGAAGATGATGAATGTTGAAAATTTGACGCCATTTACTATTATAAATTGCGTCCAGCACAATTCTCTGACGCTCACAAACTTTATCCAATTTATCTAATCAAACCTGTTGATCAAATTCACTCATCATGCAATAAACTTTGTCAACAAGTGTTAGTTTTTAATCGGAAAAGGTGTTTTGAAAGCGAGGCTCCGTAACTGTTCGTTGAGCTTCGGGTCACTTTGTGGAAATTCTGTTTCTACTTTTAGAAACTAGTTTGTCGTTGCATGAGTTATCGTTCTTTTAATAACACCCGTAATTTTCGGGGTGTATACTAGGTGGCTCTTCGATCGAAAATCGTATTTCCCCAGGCTGTCGATTTGCCAAACAGAAGCACATAAAAAATCGACAGACTGGAACCCAGGCTACCTTCACTCATTCAATATCTTCTATATATTCCACATTTATCACACATTTGACATTTAGGAAATAAATATCAATTTTGGTGTGCTGTAGTAGAATAATGCGCAGTTCAAGTTCAACTGCACTGGATAGCGATAAGCCTGAGTAGTTGATAACAAAACATTTGAATGATAAACCGTTCAATATTATTATTATTATTGTTTTCAGTGACCATGAAGGAGGAAATGTTAGTGCACATACAACTCACTTGGTGGCAAGCGCTCTATCAGATCCCTATCTGAGTTTTGCTGCTGGCATGAATGGACTGGCTGGGCCTCTCCATGGTCTTGCTAACCAGGTTTGTTATTCATGTTTATACTTGTACAGCATTTACTAATTTACTGACTTATTCCTTAGCCTGCTGGATCTGAAAGTATTTATTCTTTGCCATCAGTATAGAATCATGCACCGGGCTCTGTGGCTAAATGGTTAAGTTTCATGACTTCAGAACACTTGCACCTTACTACTGTTGGTTCAAGTCCTGTCGGGGACCTTAGATTCTTTCATGTAAGGAAGCTATCAAGCCGCTATTAATGAATTTGGTTCTATGTTAAAATGCTAAGGCCTTTATACTGTTTCAGCTATAAAATGAAAAAAAAAAAGCAACAATCCAAATGTTCCTGTTAGAATTATGCAGTGGAAGATGTCTTCATTCATTACAAACAATAAGTTTCAGCTTTTTTTGGAACAATATAACTTCTCTGTTTTTCAATTTTTTATGAAATATTTAATCAGTTACAGTTTTATACACTTTAATATGGCAATGTTTGTATTTTCAGGAGGTATTAATCTGGTTAACTGAGGTAAGAAAGACTGTAGGGGACAACATTTCAGAGGAAGGCATGAAGGAGTTTGTATGGAACACTCTTAAAAGTGGACAGGTAGGGTATTTTAGGTCAAAGACTCAAAGTGCTTTTTTTAGCTCACCTGTCACAAAGTGACAGGGTGAGCTTTTGTGATCGCTTTTCGTCCGGCGTCCGTCCGGCGTCCGTCCGTCCGTAAACTTTTGCTTTAAATGACATCTCCTCATAAACCACTGAGCCAATTTCATCCAAACTTCACAGGAATGTTCCTTTGGTGGTCACCTTTAAAAATTGTTCAAAGAATTTAATTCCATGCAGAACTCTGGTTACCATGGCAACCGAAAGAAAAATCTTTAAATATCTTCTTTTAAACAACCCTAAGAGCTAGAGCTTAGATATATGGCATGAAACATCTTCTAGTGAGTGTCTACCAAGTTTGTTCAAATAAAAGCCCTGGGGTCAAAATTGGCCCCGCCCCAGGGGGTCATTGATTTTCCCTATATGCATATAGTAAAAACTTAAAAAATCTTCTTTTAAAGAACCCAAAGAGCTAGAGCTAAGATATTTGGCATGAAACATCTTCTAGTGAGTGTCTACCAAGTTTGTTCAAATTAAAGCCCTGGGGTCAAAATTGGCCCCGCCCCAGGGGGTCATTGATTTTCCCTATATGCATATAGTAAAAACTTAAAAAATCTTCTTTTAAAGAACCGTAAAGGCAAGAGCTTAGATATTTGGCATGAAACATCTTGCTAATGAGTGTCTACCAAGTTTGTTCAAATAAAAGCCCTGGGGTCAAAATTGGCTCCGCCCCAGGGGGTCATTGATTTTCCCTATATACATATAGTAAAAACTTAAAAAATCTTCTTTTAAAGAACCCAAAGAGCTAGAGCTAAGATATTAAGCATGAAACATCTTCTAGTGAGTGTCTACCAAGTTTGTTCAAATTAAAGCCCTGGGGTCAAAATTGGCCCCGCCCGGGGGGGTCATTGATTTTCCCTATATGCATATAGTAAAAACTTAAAAAATCTTCTTTTAAAGAACCCAAAGAGCTAGAGCTAAGATATTTAGCATGAAACATGTTCTAATGGGTGTCTACCAAGTATGTTCAAATAAAAGCCCTGGGGTCAAAACTGGCCCCGCCCGAGGGGGGGTCATTGATTTTCCTTATATGTCGTAATGTGTATAGCAAAAACTTAAAAATCTTCTTTGAAAAAACCCAAATAGCTGGAGTTTAGATAGTAAGCATGAAACATCTTTAAGTAAATATCTACAAAGTTTGTTCAAATAAAAGTCCGGGGGTCAAAACTGGCCCTGCCCCAGGGGTGTCATTGTTTTTAACTATATGTGTATAGTAAAAACTTTAAAAATCTTCTTTTAAAAAACCCAATGAGCTAGAACTTAAATGTTTAGCATGAAACATCTTCTTATGGGTGTCTACCAAGTCTGTTCAAATAAACAAATAAAAGCCCTTGGGTAAAAATTGGCCCGGGGGTGGGGGGGGGCTATATACAGGTGAGCGACCTCAGGGCCATCATGGCCCTCTTGTTTTAATAGTGACTAAATATTACTATCTATATTTATGGACATTTAATGAAATAGTTTTATCCACAATATTGTCATAAACTACAAATGCAGACCAATCAATGAGAATTAAAGATATGTTTGATGTACAGAGCTCTAATGGGCCCAAGAGGTCTAGTAACCATATCATTTTCTTTTAGACTATGCTTTAATGCAAGTGGATTTTTCATTGTCTTGGACATGTCAATTAAATGGACTTTGGTTCTTTGCATTATGATCGCAAAAACTTTTACTTTAACGACATCTCCTCATAAACCGCTGAGTCAATTTCATCCAAAATTTACAGGAATGTTCTTATTTTTTTGGTGGTAGAGAAGTATATAACCTCCATATTCCCTTGTCGCAGAATTAAGTCAGTTCTCTTTGAAATCATTCAGTAAAATTGCTGTTTCATTGCATTATATTATTACATTGTTTGTACAAATATTCTCGCCAGGTCGTACCAGGTTACGGACATGCTGTACTGAGAAAAACTGATCCACGTTACGAATGCCAGAGAGAATTTGCATTGAAGAAACTGCCAGACGACCCAATGTTCAAGTTAGTCTCTGCATTATACAAAGTTGTTCCAGATATTCTCTTGGAACAAGGCAAAGCCGCAAATCCATGGCCAAATGTTGATGCACACAGCGGTGTACTTTTGCAGGTGAGATTTTTTCAATGAAAAATTTGGTGGTAATACAGTTAAGGTAGATGTCCCATATTGTTGTACATTGGGGACAGTTGATATACATAATTATGATTGAACCTTTTATTCATATGATAATCAATTTAAAGGAGTGTTTTTCCTTATCCTTTTAGGAACAAGGACTGGTGAGGGTGTCTATTTTAGAATTTTTTAGTTGTTAAATTATGGATAATTGAAAATCAAAAAATGTAAAAAAAAGATCAATATTTAGATTTTGAAGTAAAGTTGTCATTTGGGAATTGACATTAACACCCCAGACTTCATGTCCTTAGATAGCAGGATTTACATATTTGGTAGTTACCACTTGCCCCTGACCACTTTTGGGTTTGAAACCTGCCAGGGACTGTGGATTCTTTTATGTTAAAAAGCTACTTAAGGGAATGTCTGAGGTCCTAATCGCCAGTTATAATCGGGTGCCTGTTCGATTCCTGTTCAATTTTTCTAATATGGTTTTAAGATCATGAAAGTAAATAAACTCATCAAAGCACTGTAACTGTAAGGCAAAAAAAATAAATGATTGATTAAACTTGATATCTTACTAAAAATGATTTGACCCATATTTTATTTTCAGTACTATGGAATGACCGAGATGAACTATTACACAGTTCTGTTTGGCGTGTCACGTGCTCTAGGATGCATGTCTTCAGTTATTTGGGACCGAGCCCTCGGCCTACCCATCGAGCGACCAAAATCATTTGATACTCCAGCACTGAAGAAACTTGCAATGTCATCTGCACAGAAGTAGATTAATTCAAAAGACACTATCTAACAATACGTTGAATAGTAATGAAATTAACAGATAGAAAAATTCTTATTTAATTGAACATTTAAATTATTTTCTTGACAAAAAATAACATAACAAACCAATAATGCTGGATATTGAAGTTGTAAGAAACATGTGTTTTCTTTCGAATACTGATGTGTTATTGTGTTTTTATATTGGTCAGAAAAGTGATTGTAAAGTAGATTTTATGAACGGTTATAATATTAAGAAAGTATGTTAATGCTTGTTATTATTATGAAATATATTTACTTTCTGTAAGTTATTTTACAATGCAACAATGTCTGTCATATCTTGGAATACATTATTTAACTGTCTTGTGTTCTGTTCAGTTAGTGCTATTTTTTTTTTTAAAATGACTGTATGGTTAATTGTGTGCTTTGTGCAAAATGGTTTTAACTGTTTTGGATATTTAGAAAGAGATATGATCGTTTTGCAGTGAGCTTACAATTTAATCATATAAGATATATATAGTTCATCATTTTTAACCATCCTTATTTGTATATGAAATGAAAGAAAACTGTGCCATGATTGCTCGATTGTGTACGTGTCTTGAACAAATAAACCCTGTCTTGGTCCAGATTTCATTTGCATTGTAAATGTGTCGATATTCGGAAAGCCAGTATGGAAAGTTAGGTATGTTTAATGCTGTAAAAATAGGCTAGGTACAGTCGGCTTCCCCAGTGCTTAAAAAGGTGAAAATTAATTCCAGTTTTATTGTTTCGGGTATAGTGTTATTTATTATTATTTAGAATTGCACCTTTGTATTCCATTGATTTCACACTCGTAAAGTATTAATAATCTGTCTTTTTGAACAAAAAAGAAGGAAAAGTGAAGTAAAAAAATGTTGATTTTATGTTGGTATGTTTGTTTTTGGTTTCTTCATACATCTGTGGTACATAGTTGTTAAAGTTTCAATGCTAGATATAATAATGAAACATAATCTTAAAACTGTATGGCTGCTAGGGAGGCATGAAGCTTACTTTACTATTATTCCAGCAGACTGGATTAAACCGAGTCTGATTTCAAAATTATTTATTTGTTTCTAATTTCATTGCTCCAAAGGATCTCTGCTTGCCATATTTCATTTGTTAATCAGTATGAAAAATTAATTTTGTCGGCTGACTTGATATGAAAGAAATTTTTTCAACACAAACAAAATTTTAATGTTTAAATTAGAAAGCAATGGATATAAACATCTGAACCCATCATATTCAAATTAAGAAAAAGGGACATTAACATCCTTCTTAAAAGCTCATCATAACATTTCTTTTTTGTTTCTAAAAAAAATGGCATACCTTTAAACAAAACCCCTGACTGTAAAAATTGAGGAAAATGCTTGATAAAGATGTTGTGAAACTTGTTCTGTTTTGTAGAATCGTACAGTGATTTTTCATGATAGATTTGTGATATTTTATTTGTCTTGTGTGCTAATGGTGAAGATAAGTTATTATAGGGAGTACTAACTTATGTCTCTTTCTCCCTGAAATTTCATATTTTTCTCCCTAAATTTTCGTGAAGTGTTAAGGTATTTAAATAGTGTGGTGTGGCTTGGTGACCATATAAGTGGAGTCACTTTAAAAATAAGAGTTGAAATAATGTAATATTTTGGCTACGAAATCAAAATCATATATTTTATCTAGAAATATTTGCTATTGCATAGCTTTTGCTTTATACGTTTTTCTTAAAGGTACATTAAGCCTGAAAAAAATAGTAAAGTTTTTCCCTTAGCAAAAAGGCTGATATGTGTTTTAATATTTTGGTGATGCATTTAGACAAGGTTATATGGTTATGATCCGAAGAAAAAATAGCACTGAATATAAAATAATTTGCTTTTTTACAGAAGCAAAAAATAAAATTTTGACTTCCAAACAAAATAGTGAAATAAGTATAAGTGTGGTTATTGTCAAAATGCAAAAGATGGCTCAGGTTAATAACCAATGGCAAACAGGACACAAAAACTAATAAGCTTATGGAAAGCATTTTTCGGCTTAATGGGCCTTTAATTATTACAACACTGTCAGCTGACATGCCAAGTTTGTATATTTAGAAAGAAGTATATATGTTGTTTATTGTCTTATTATAATAGTTGAACTTTGTCCAAAGACTACTAATGTGCTAATCTATTTTTAGAAATAGAATGCAGAGAAACAAGTGAACATTTCCATGTAAAATTCCTAAAAAATAAATCAACTATAAACAAGCATTGTTGTTCTACTTTTACTAACCGACACTCTCTGAAACAGTACCACTTGGACTTTTAAATATATTAACGTTGATTACATCTTTAAAGTGAATTGGTAAAATGGTAAAGATCTGTACTAACATAAAGAATAATGTTGGTTATAGTGTCAAGGTGGCCAATCTACTGGATTCAAGTAAGATTTTTACACATAACTTTACTACTACTAGATGAAAGTTCTTGAAATATAACGTAGCGTACCCGGAATTTTAAGCATTATCAGATGCTGGTTTCGTCTTTTAAATGCTTTGTAGATTTTTCCTGAAAACAAGACTTAGTTTCCATAAATTCAAGACCTGTTAACATTTATAAAGTTCTATTTGAAACTTGTTTTGGAATTAGATTTAATATAAAAGTTGTGATTCTAAAGAAAATGGTATCGTAAACTCTACGAATAGATCAAAGCGCGGAAAGCACCTTGGTGTTATTTCGATCTAGCATCCTGGAGGCCAATGTTTTTTTTTGCAATATTCCCCAGGGGCGAATAATCTATTATACTTAAGGAAACGTAATGTTCTAGTTCTTTCCCCTGATACAAAAATCTCTGATGTAATAAAGCATTGTGGTGAAAAAATACATTAAAATGTTGCTTCGGTATAATGAAAAAATGACACATGTCTCTCAGGGTAAAATTGCATATAACAAACCGAGAATTCGTTGTCGGCTTTCAAGTTGGTAATATGCACTATTACCCTTAGAGATATAACCACGAACATATACTTCATTGGGACACTGTTTCTATATGTTTTTTTTATTTTTCCGATTTATTACTTTGGAAAAGTACTGTTAACTTATGTAACAGTACAAAATATTTAGTCATATGTTGCACGTGGCTTAACACTAAGAATAACTCCCATTGGCCTATGGAAAACATTACGAAATAATATAAGTTGGCCTCCCTGATCACTAGATGAGTAATAGATATGGTACGAATTTTTCGTCAATAGTGTATTCTTATAGACATTTCGCGACGATAAACAACAAATTCTTCAAGTCGAATTTCAGTCAAACAGAATTATTTTTTATTTATAATAAACGATGTTAAAATGACCGTCCTTAATATAGTGTAATATTTACTTATATTTACTTATTATATTTATATATTATATATTTAGTCATTCTGTTAGAAAAAACTAGCTTTCCATTTCAACAGACACCGAACTTGTATTTTATATAGATAACGTTATCAGATTCGGTGAGTTTCCTTATTTGCATGCTATATATTAAATGTAATATACCAATGAAACACCTACAATATTTTCATTCAAGGCAGGCAAAAACTGATATTATCACAAGTTTATTTTTGAGAAAAGTAGCAGTGGGCATAGCCAAAGTTCTTTGAGAATATCAAATTAAGCTACTTTATTAAAAAACAAGAGATTAAGTCAACTCTTGCATGTCAACAGATGATATTTTAGAGTGCTTCAAACAGGACACCATAAAAACGTACCAACATGATTATGCAACTCAGAAAAATTCAGTTTATCAGCAGAAAGTGAATCAAATGAAATGGAGACAAAACATGGCCACGTCCGGGAACAAAATTACTGTTGGTTTTAGCATTGGTATTTTTGACGAAACTAGCACCAGTTTCCGGAAGATGCTATATATATTGCTGCTCTGTGTTACTCAACTGAATTTCCGATGGGAAAGTGCAACAAGATTCAAATATATGGGTATTTTATCATCCAGTCATCAAAAAAGTATACAATAGATTTGTGTGCTCCAACACCTCCAGCTCGAGATAAAATGAGCCGCGTCACGACAAAACCAACATAGTGCGTTTGCGACCAGCATGGATCCAGACCAGCCTGCGCATCCGCGCAGTCAGATCAGGATCCATGCTGTTCGCTTACCAGCTCTATCACAAGAAGAGAAACTGATAGCGAACAGCATGGATCCTGATCAGACTGCGCGGATGCGCAGGCTGGTCTGGATCCATGCTGGTCGCAAACCCACTATGTTGGTTTTGTCGTGACGTGGCTCAAATTATGTAATACTCTATTATCTAAAAATATTTACAAACATCTTATATTCCAACTCAAATTGTTTGAAAGTAATAGTTAGCTCTATAAACCAAACTGCTGGCAGGCAATGATACTTATTGCCAAGTTTACTTCTCGCTAAGATTTCAACATTTTGATTCTCACGAGATTTAAAGTGAATAAAACGTTAAATGGCACGAACAGTTTCCCGCCAGAATGTTGAATCTCGATACTTTATCTTTTAAAAATAAAAATGGAGACAAAAGACATTTAAACAAATCTTGCATGTCAATGTGTGTTGGTACAGTTATAATTATAACTCGCAAAGATTTTAAACACACATATATAATATACATTTAAAAATTTGTGCGAAATTGAATCAAATACAATTGCTAAAAACACAAAATCACTTTAAAGATTTCTTCTATCGTCATATAATTTTAACGATGTTAGTATAATAATTTCTCTCCAGGTTTTAATTACGTAAGTATAATGATAATTTCTCTCCAGAGTTGGTAATACGCACTTTTAGAAACCTGGAAAACAAAGATATTGCCATTAAACTGACAGCATTTTTTTTGTAGATTTAAAGATCAATACCTCATCATGACGAAAATACAGAATATTATTTGAACTATAGACAGGTAATCTACACTTATCTACAAATGTTTTAGCAGACAAGTATATAATATTTGTTATTCAATATAATAATAAATTTGTATGATAATTATATAAAAAAAAACATCTCTAGTTTTTTAAAGAGAATTATTGAAGAACAAATTAATCGGCAAATTTTTATTCTAACTTCAGTCTGTCTGGTCATTGTCCGATTTGATGTAACAAATGTAAAATGTACGTGAAAATTTTCTTTAAAATTGTGAGAATAACTGATTTTTTATGATGTTTTGATAAACAACAACAACAACAAAAAACCTACGGAATGTACGCTTAGCTATTAGAAAGGATGTTGGATTATGAACCTTTCATTTCATTATAATGTACGATGACTAACTGTTATGTAAAGAAGCTTAAAAACATGTTTACGATCAGTAAAATTAGCAAGTCAACGGCACTGTCAGACAAAGGACTTGAAGGTTATTGCATAAATAGAAATAAAATCAACATAAACAACAAAAACAAAATTCAGGACAGCCGGTTAGGTTTACCGGGATATGACCGAAAGGTTTTTAAACAAGAAATTCAATAAAACCTGTACCTTTATGGGGTAATTTATCTAACACACATTCTTACAATTGCAAAACATAAATTCCAATAACGAGCCCTGTAAGAGTACCTTTGAAAACAGATTGTTTAAAAAAATGTGAATCTTCCCAAAGATTGTATAATCACTTTGATAGTAATCATTTTAATATGCTTCTTTTTATTATTACACAGAAAATATTATTTGTCATTAAAGTAGCCAAATGTTAACAAATAGTATTTTACTTCCTAAAAGATACTTATTGACTATATAAACAGTAGTAAGGGCCAATAGATGCAAAGGGTGGTTCAGGTAACTGGCCAACAACTTACCATTTTGGAAACTATAACAAGACACAAAAAAGCTTTAGAGAAATTAAAATCAATCCATAATCGACCTTTAAGATAAATAAATGTGCAATAAAATGTGTTTAAAACCTTTAAACGGTTCTAAATTACAATTCATTTATAAATAATTGTGCAATACAATGTGTAAACATCCTTTTTTAAACATTATTGTTATAACGGTTCTAAAGTGAAAATTTCAATTGTAAATAAATTTCAATAAAATGTGTAGACACATTTTCTTTCTCGAACATTGTTGTAATGGTTCTAGGGTGACAATTTAATTGTAAATAAATGAGCAACTTATTACTTCAACGGTTTATAATTGAAATAGCAATTAACATTTGCATTATTTACGTTTACCTGCGTATTCTAAGCTTGTACTTTTTACAATTGAATTGTCGTTGAACCTTCATAATTACATGTAGCACGACACTGAAAGGTCTCCAAACACTTATATAACAGATTGCAAAGTCATTGAATTCCGAATGTTACATATAGCAGAACAGGTTTGATAGTTAAAAGTTATATCGTTTTTTTTCTAAAACCGTTGTTCATATAAAAGATTTAAAACTTTACGTTTCAAACATCTCACCACATCGGAAGCTATCTAAATGACTGTACCATTCTTAGTTCGAAGCATAATTATATTTATTAACTAATAATTATATTATTAAATATGAAATCATACCAACAAAAAATCGAACCAATTCAAATGGAAGCGCATGCCTTGCCCACGATGGTTTGAATTCGGAAAGATCCGAGACACTTTTGTCTGTAATTAAAGAATGTTCCACTGAACATCCCGACCATTGTAAGCCATTCACTTGATTTTCGATCAAACGCTTTGACTGCATTTTTAAATTTTAAAATCGTTCGTTAACTGCACAACTGTCATTAATTTTGTTGCCATTGCGTCATGCTCGTTTGCTGAAAATTAAAAAGACACGGGATTCCGATCCTCTGTCGGAAAGGCCTATGTACCGGACGTTTTCCCTTTTCACGTTTGATAAATTTAGTTTGGTTTTAGAATGCCTTTGTAACATGGGCAACTTTAGATATGCTTGTATAATATTCACAACATCAAAGAGTTATTTTCTATTCATTTTATTTTATTTGTCAATCTAAATTTTACTTAGCAACCTGTTACCTAAGCCATATTTCATATTTGAAATAATGTACTCTTATATTCAGATTTGTTAAGAAATGAAAAAGTGTAGGAAATGAAGACCGAGAACCAAAAGGTTTTATACATGTATTTCTTTTCATGATTTGTTTTTTGGCCCTGTTAATATTGTGATAATTAACACTCGCAGTTTTGTGTCGTTGTCTTTGTGTATGCATTAACAAAACAATGTATGGTTAAAGCGCTGACATTATAAATTAGGTTTCTAGGTCAGTTTGATAACTATTATTAACAAAGTACGCAACA